GGGAGCCGTTGCTGGCTCGCACCACAGAGGCGTTGAGCCACTTTTCCGTATAGGCAGCAGAGTTGGCCCGACAGGCGCTCGCCTCCGTACGCTTGGACCTTGGCAGGATTGGAGTGGCGGGCTTGGGCACCCCAGCGGTAGTGCTATTCAACTCCGCCTCCGGCTTGCTCGGGTTTGTCAGGTAGCTGTAGATGTTGTCCGCTGGATCTCGCTCGGTATCCATTATTCGCGTGAGGGGATCGGGCTCCTGTCGGAGAGGTCAGCAGTAAAAATTGATTGGCCATGGCACATCGGACATCGGTACACTCACCCCGAAGCCGATCAGTCGGCCGGCCACAATGCCACTGTCCTGGCTGAGGCGTCGCGGTCGAAGCTTGGTCCGGCTGTGGCGGATCATACGCTCGCTCTTCGCAGGACTGGACATCACCTCACGCCGTGCGGTCGTCTCAGGTCGTGGGTTCCGCAGCGTTGGCACCGAAAGGAATCCTGTGGGACGAAACGGATTAGCACCTGAGTGGGCTCTGATTTAGGGGATTCACTCACGGGGGAACTGAAAGACCAACTGCTCGCTGGGGTGCTCGCTCTCCTGGGCTGCGTTGCCGATGAGATTCTCTCGTGAGCTTGCCTCCGTTATCCTAGCGTTGCTCTCGCCATCCACGCTGTCGACGCGTATCTGAAATATTTGGGACTTCGCGCCAGACCGGTCTCCGGGACTGCTCATTGTGGGACTACTCTTGGCTGTCGGTTTTCCCTCTTTCTGATCTGTCCTCTGGTCTATGGCGGCATGGAATTCTGTGGAGCATGTGAAGCCAGAAGGATATACTAGTGTCTAATTTGGCCCACTTCATATATCTGAAACACCTGCTCCAGTACCCATGATAAACTATTTAAAGTTTGCTTCGGTTTGCGGACAGTTGGAACGGAACGAAACGGAACGGAAAGGAAGTATTCAAAAGTTTGACTGAGATGGGGGACATGCATAAGACTCTGGCCTGCGACCTCCCGGAGAGTGCTGCAGTGTTAAAAATTCATGGGTGTTTATACTACGGCCCTCGAGTGGCTATTCATATTCGTATTTGTATCTTCATTTACCAGCCACGACCCAATCAGAGGCGGTCTCACGCACACGCACACGCACGCACACGCACGCGCTCGACATTGACCCACGAATTCTTCCCGCCGTTCCGTTCGGTTCGGTTAGGGTCTGGATTCTTTGCATTTGTCCAACTTGATGAGGGACCTGTTCAAAGTGCTCGGACATTAGTCAATGCACTGTGGGAGCAGCGCCACTTGAGTCGCAAAGGTTAGGCAAACAAACTTGTTGCTAGAAAACCGAACCCCTTCCCCTGCGGTCGAATGACAAGTGCTCTAGATAATTGCCCCCGATTAGTGCTGGATAAATGTATAGTCGTATGAGACATAAGAGTGTGTATAGTGGTACAGAACTGTGTGTAGGACTGCCTGGAAAAAACTACTTTGGGGTGTTCTACAAGTTTTTCGAGTTGTACGAGAGCTTGACCAAAACATATCTAGGCCCAGGGACAAACAAAAAAATCCGTACTCGTACCTGGACTGCGTATACTATTAGGCGTGCGACGGTCTCGAAATGTCAGCGCTGGTTGGCAGTTGTGCAAAGTCCCATGCCATTGAAGTAATCACAACGATTGAAGGATTATTGATCGCTCCTGTCCGTTCCCAGTGATATGTAGCACTCGCAGTAACAATCGATTATTGATTTGCCTTCTTGCACTCGGATGCAGCTCTCTCACTCTTTTTTTCACAATTTCCAATATCCCATATCCCTATGATCTATGCGCTTCAATGGGCTTGTAGCACTAATGGGGAACTATTGATTTTGTATGTCTCTAATCATTATCCTTGAATCAATGCTCATAGTATCCAGGCCCACCGCGCTCGCATGTCCATCCGTAGAAGCCCGCACTTGACTTAACACTTTTCGTCCTGCATATGGGTCTGGGTCCGATTGTTCCGACTATTCCGATGTGTTCAGCTCCGGCTCTCGCGCACGAATGACTAAAAAAATCCAATTGTCCCTGTCTCTGTCCCTGGTGTCAATGGTCGTTGACGACCAGCACAGGATATCGGCACTCCTGGATAGATAATCACGGTTTTACTTGTTTCTGTTCGATGTGGCGAATGTGGTGAATAGTAAAACGGGCATATGCCTGCTATGGGACCACCGCCCACACGAATATCCTATTAATATTGGGCCTCGTGTTGGTTATTCGTGATAAGTTTCTAATTTTAAATCAGGTCTAGTAATGCTTCCCCTCCAGTCAAGTATGAACTACTTTCTGAATGACGTCAGTTTCCTTGCGGCGGGTTAAGGATAAAACTGTACATCTGTTGGCGATGGAATAAGTCATATGAGGCAATAGGTTTTAGACTACATATGCTTGAGCTGCGAGTATTCCCCTGGCTGGAGATCCAATTCGTGACCATAAAAATAGCCTCCGTGCAGGAGTCCCTTATGCAGCCAGTATTATTATTCTCGGACGTGGAATCTATTTTGATTGAATGTACGTCATTAATAGCGCCATTCCGAGTGTTGGTGCGTGCTGTTCGGTGGACTCTTGAATATTGTACTGTAAGAGTGCTTTGATTGGCACCACTTATAGATAGGAGTATGCAAATGGCACCTATTTATATTGAATGTGGCCAGTTAATCGCAGGTAGGTATATCCATCATACTTGTACGAGTTCAATTGAAACTTTTGATTGAATGGAAATATTTTTGAAGGCCTAATGCTCAGGGCTACAGCTGCGAGGTTATGGGAGAAGGGGAGAATGCCAATGTCCTCTTTGTATATTTTCGATATTTTAACTTTCGCAATCTCTGTTAGGAGACTGCTATGTTTTTAAAAAAGTATTTTTTAACCACCACCTAAATTTGAATGAAATAATCTTGAGTTATATGAGACCGAGTCGTCTCCATTGGTTTTTCACTGTTGCAGGACATTCTGCTGCCAGTTCACTGAGCCTTAATAATTCATATATATGTACCCACTGATTGCTCTTTTTATGAATCTAAAAGATACATTTTTTAAAGATTCCACTAAAATTAGAAAGTATATCCTCTTAAAGTGTATGTTTTCTCCGGATAGAGACCATATTAAACTCTGGAATTGTTTTTAATTTAATTTTGTATGATATTGTGACATTATTCGTCCTTTTTACACATTTTATGCCAACCAAACGAAGTATTTTATTTTTAAAATTAAAAGTATAAGCACTATTAAGCGTACGGTTTTTTGAAATACTTTTAAAATGGTGCTTTAGTTTCAAAAATACTATTACTTTGGAATATGAAAATGGGAATTTAAAAAATGTCTATAGATTTTTGTATTTTTTCAGCGGTTCAAATTAAACCCTTTTCAACCATCTTTATTAAACATTTCCCACCTACACGATACGTTTCCAATCTGAAAGCCACAACATTTTAGATATTTAAGGCTTACGGTTGTTAGAAATCTTTAAAAAATATAAAAAAACCTTTCACAAATCAAGCCATTGAAATACTATAACACAATTTCAAATGGAAATTCAAATTCAAATTATAATGCCCACTTGTTGTCCTTCATGATAAATTTAAAGAAAAACGAGGGGGAACGTTGTGAGTTGCTGCGGCGACCGCAACTCTACATTTATACCCGATACTTAGTCAGTATGGCTTTCCTCTACCAGACGGCGCTACCATTGCACGACACGACAAAGAGTGCGTGCGAGAGAGACAGAAAATTGTTATTATTATTGATTTTTATTGTATAATTATTATTATAATTATTATTCTTTATTTTTATTGAATATTTATTATTTTTGATTTTTATTGAATAATTATTATTTTGGGATCAATATACTTATTATATATTTATTATTTTTGATTTTTGTTTGTATAATTCTTATTATAATTATTATTGTTGATTTCTATTAAATAATTAATATTTTTATTTTTATTGATTAATTATTATTTTTGATTTTTATTGTATAACTATTATTTTTGATTTTTATTTTATAATTATTATTCTTGATTTTTATTGAATAATTATTGTTTTTGGATCAAAAATTCTTCTGTTTTTACGTATCTTTGAAATTGTGGAGCACTATGCGCTGATAGGGACGGACAGACGGACAGGGCTTAATCGACTCGGCTATTGATGCTGACCAAGAATATATATACTTTATGGGGTCGGAAACAATTCCTTCTGGACGTTCCACACATCCACTTTAACCACTAATCTAATATATCCCAATACTTATTTTGAGTATCGGGTATAAAAATAAAGATACGAATGGAGTTAAAATGGAGGTGCAGAAACTTACCGAATGGTCCATCCAGGGTTTTGCACCGCATTCGAGCCATCAGGATTAATGCAATTGGCATAATATTCGATCATAAAGTTTATGAAGGCATTGCAAGAACAGCAAATGACGCGATCTGAGCAGTCTAGTGGTCAGAGACTATAAGAGCTAAAGCGGAGGAGACCCATATTGATATTCAATTTAAAAAAAAAATAAATCACAATCCAGATTAAAAATTTACCGATTATCGATTATAAATCGATAAGCAACAAGGCAGTTGCCTTGTAACCTCCATGGATGGATGGATTAACGGATTAATATATCCCACCATGTACACACAATGAGCTTTATTTCCGTTATGACTAGTTTGCGGCGCTTCCGCTTGCAGTCATAAAAATCAATTAAATTTGAGGGTCATCATCAGCCACTGACAAACCACGCCCCCCCCCCTTTCAGGATGCGTTCATTATACTACTATGAGTTAATTTGGAAACATATTTGAAGGTCTCATTCTCAAGGGTACAGGAATACGGAAGGAAGAAGGAATGCCAGTGTTCCGTTTTGGATATTTTTGGTATTTTAATCCTTGCAATCATTCTTTAAAAGTATTATTTTTGCCACCACCTTAATATGAATGAAGTACACTTAAAATTATACGAGTACATATATGATATCTATACCTAGTTCGGATCGGTCACAATTACCGAGTCATCTCCATCGGTTTTGCACTGTTGCAGGATATCCTGCTCGCAGCTGCTCGTAGCCTTGTTGAAGAAGAGTCCCGGTCCGCAGTCGCCCTCGATTTTCTGCCCGTGCACACACATGAAAAAGCCGCGACAGTTGTCAACATCGCGAGCCAACTGGCCATGTTTTCCGTTGCAGACACCTACGCGCTCGCCGTTCTCCATGAGACAAGTGCCGTCGCTCTGGCGACAGATCCTTAGGAGGCTGTCGAAACTCTCCCCATTGCGGCAGCGTTGGGACACAGCCACATCATCCTCGCAGCTGGTGTAGCGCCGGCAGTCGCCCTGTTCTGCCACGGATGTGCCATTGCCAATGACGCTGCACAGGCTGTCGAAGGACGTGGGTGTGTCGTTGCACTGCTTGTTCTGCGCGCTTTGCTCCCGCACTGAGAAATTTCCGGGCAGCTCCGTTTGCAAGTCCACATCGCCGGTTGGCTCCAAGGTTTGGCACTGCTGGAGCGTAGCGTTGAAGAAGAAGCCGGAGTAGCAGCACTCGTGGCGTAGCTTGCCAGACACGCAGATGTAGAAGTTATTGCAGTTGGCCGGATCCGGTAGAATGTAGCCGTGCTTTCCCTCGCAGACCAGTGGATCCGGCGGCACATGCTGGTTATTTGTCTCCTCATCATCGTCCAACTGCTCCACGAACGGACAGGAGCCGTCGTCTTGCACGCACAATAGCTGTTCCGGATCGAAGAAGCTCCCTGTTGCACACCGCTGAGCTACAGCAATGCCACCAGCACAGATGAAGTACCTCGTGCAGTCGCTTCGGTTGGCCAGGTAGCTCCCCTCTTGGAGGGTACCGCAGCTGTAGACGGTGCTGCTGTTACCGTCCAGCTGTCCGTTCTGGCACTGCTCCAATGCCTGCGACTCCGGCTCACAGGCCCCCAGGACGGGATTGAACTGCTGTCGTGCGGGACACTCCACTGGAATCGCCATGCCACGCACGCACGCGTAGTACAGGTTGCAGTAGAGCTCGTGGGACAGGCGCACCCCGTGTAGCCCCGCACATACCTTTCCGCCAGATTCCTCCGCCCCAGGGTCCGATTCCGTCTGGCACTGGCCGTGGTCAACGCGGCACAATGAGAGCAGGCTGTGGAAGTACAGTCCCTGTTCGCACTGGTGGAGGTGAGTACCGTTCTGGCTGGAGCAGCTGTAGTACGCACGACAGTCCTCGGGATGAGCCACTAGTCTGCCGTCCTCTACTCCTGAGCAGACGTCCAGCTGGCAGGTGCCATCGTTGGGTCTGCAGTATCCCTGAGCGGCGTCGAAGAAGCTACCGGAGGCACAGCTCTGCAGTACAGCCGGCTGCTGCTGCAGGCACAGGTAAAACCGTGTGCAATCCTCGGCATCAGGCACGCTTAGGCCATCTGGTTGGCCCAAACAGCTGCTCTCCGCAGCCGAAAGGGTCAGAGCTTGAGCTTGCTCCTGGCACTCGACTTGGGCCTGACACCTGTTCAGTTCTGGGGCGAATCGCTGGCCACGAAGGCAGCTTCCCAGGAGCCACTCCTCTCCCTCGCAGTAGTGGAAGAATGGCATACAATGCCCACCGTCCGCTGGGATCAGTGGCAGAGCCCGTAGCTCCCGATTATGGCAGATACGGCGCATTCCGTTCGCCTGGCACCTTCCATCGCTGGGCACGCAGCCGAGCAGTGGCTCGAACTGTTGTCCCTCCAGGCAATGCATCCGCACCCACTGGCCGTCCAAACATTGGTCATAGATGCTACAGCTGCCAATCAGGCCTCTTTTTTGGCCGCTAACACAAGAAGTCGTGGTATTCTGCGGACACTGGTCGGCATCGTTTGGCAGACAGTAGTTGCGGTCGCGGCTGAAGTACATTCCCAGTGGACACTGGTGCCGCCACCAAACGTTGTCCAGGCACATGAGGAAGCTGTCACAGCTTGCCAAAGACGGACGAACGGACAGATGCTGGCAATGCTTGGGCGGATTTATGGTGATTGTTGTGTTGCAGATGTCCCGATCGTTTGCCTTTGCGGTAGCCGGAAACGGCAGGCAGGAACCCATCAGGGCAGAATAGTAGTGCTGCTTGGGACAGTTACGAAGGCGCCACTTGCTGCTTGCGCACCGGAAGTACTGTTGGCAGCTGCCATTTCTGGTGGACATCGTTTGGGCCTCGCTGCGGTTGGTGCAGGGGGGAAGATACGTGACCCGCGCATAGGCACAAACCATGTCGTCCCTTGGCTCTAGGCAGCGTTGCTGCTCTGGGTTGTAGTAACGCTGATCGGAGCAGATGTGTCGTCGCCAGTGCCCCTCCACGCAGATCTCGTACTGGGAGCAGTTCGCTGGGACTGAGCGCTTTTCATCCAACCCGCAGGCAAGCTGAAAAAAAGTTGAGAACAAGAAAGCTGAGTGAGTTATGTGACTGGTAATCCGGAAGAAGTATGGGATAACAATCTAATTATTCTTAGCATGGAAACAATCTCATTCTTAGCTAAGATTTGTGTCGATCATACGGGATTTTTCAAGGAATATTTTCGAGGAAGTCCCTGATTACCTGCCAGGTAAGAGCTAGGAAGATCCTCCTGTTCCATTCTATAAGCAAATAAATAAAAGGCCGAAAGTATAATTCATCTTGTTTGAATTTATTGTAGCTCATATGTGTGCGGTTATTTGTATAGTACATTATAGAAGTATAGAAGTGGAACAAGCGGAACTTTCACATTAAACATAACTCATAAATATCATGGGATTATATACTCGTAAGATAAGGTATGCGTATGCGTGGGCAGGGATTATGCAAGTTTCTGGAAAAATCTCTTAAGGAATGACAGTGACCTTACTTTTTCCTGCGCCTCCAGTGAGCGCTTCTGGATGACATGATCTGCGCACATTCCCAGCTCGGGGGCGAAAATCTGGCCGATCGAGCAGGCATGGAAGGTGACACTGACTCCGTCCGAGCCGTCGCACGAGCAGAATCCGGATTTGGTGTTCTGAGCCGCGAAGGGCTCATAGCGAGCCCGCTTCTGGCACTCTAGCAAGTTGCAGGCAATGTTGCCGATGACACCTTTTAATGTGCACAGGCCCTGGGAAACATCGAAGACGTGTCCTTCGTCACAGTGATGGTAGGTGGCGACTCCATCACAGCTGCAGAATCCCGCACTGGTGTTCCTCGCCTCGAACGGTTCAAACTGGGCGCGACCTCTGCATTGGCGAGAGTCGCACGCCTCAATCGTGCAGGCGGCCAGGTCCTCGTCAAAGAGCTCTCCGTTCTCGCAGCTGTGGTAGGTGGTGGCGCCGACATCCTCGCAACTGCAGTATCCACTGGTCGTGTTTCTGGCCGAAAATTTCGAGAACTGCCCGTGTTTGGCGCATTGGGTCACGTCACAAGCAGAATTGGCGACAATTTTGGATGATGGGCTCAGACAGGCGCCGTGAGCGACATCATACTCTGTGCCATTCTCGCATGCCTCAAAGACCTGACTTCCGGACATGCACAAGCAGAAGCCTGCGGTTGTGTTCAGGGCCGCAAAGGTGGATAAATCGGCCAAAGTGTCGCATTTCCCGATCTCGCACACGGAGCATGGTGCCTGTGTAGAGTCAATTTTAGTGATCAGTGGTGTTCCCTTTGATTTTGTATTAAAAGGGAGTTACCGAGGGTATGACGCAAATCTCCTGTGCCGCGTCGAAAACCATTCCCGTGCTGCACGTGTCGTAGATAACTTCGCCATTATCGCAATAGCATAAACCGGCATCATCGCTGTCCGTTTTGGGGGGGAACGGCTTAAAATCAGGCATACTCGCCGTGCACTTGGATGCATCGCACAGGCAGCTGGAGTCAACCTGTGGGGGTGGGACGCAGGACATAATTGAAGAAACAGAGATAGATTTAATAAATATCGATAGTACCTTGGGCGGCTGGCATATCTTTAGGTCCCAGTCAAAGATCTCGCCCTCGGCGCAATCAAGGTAGTTGGGAAGTCCGTCCTCACAATAGCAGAATCCTGTTAGATCGCCCTCTGGCTTGAATGGGTCGTACGCCGGGAGTAAGTCGCATTGGTTGGCGTCACAGTGTATAGTGGCACAGGGATCCTGAAAATGTGTGTGCAATGAGAGACAAATCTGAGCAGTAGATACATTGAAGAAATTGGATTCGATCATTACCTCTGGCGTTGTGCAGATCCCAAACAACGTGTCGTACACCTGGTTACCCAAGCAGGCTTCGTAGATGGGACAGGAGTCCCTGCAGTAGCAGAAGCCAGATGTGTCCGGAGCGGGAAATGTTTGATAGTCCTCCAGATTGTCGCATTTCGTCGCCTCGCAAACGTTAGGTGTGCAGGTTACCTAAGGATATTGGGGTGAACAGATGATCTGGGGAGGTCTTCCAGAGTGCTGGAAGGTACTTACTTCAGGGGCTAAACACGCCTTGTCTTCCTGGTTGTACACTGTGTTTGCAGGGCAGCTGTTATACGATGGCAGCTTGTCCACGCATACACAGAATCCAGCGTCGGTGTTCAAAGCTGGAATCGTATCAAAGTCTGTTTTGCACGAGCAACCATTGGGATCGCATCTCGGCTGTAATGGAAATGCAAATAGAGTAAATGTAAATATTATCTTGGGCATTCAGAACAATCGTCCGATTGGCTTACGTCAGGCTGAGGGATGAGGACGCACAGAAGATCATCACTGCTGAAGGTATATCCAATGGGGCAGGGCACCGGCACGGGCTGTTCATTGCGGCACAAACAGAAGCTGTTCGCGTCTTGGTAATTGGGGGAAATCCAGTACTCCGGATTACCGACACAGGACGCGGGATCGCACTCTCCAGTCTGCGTTTAAAGCGGGATATAATGTTACTCATCCAAAATTTCTACACTTACAAATGGGAACTTACAAATTCACAAAAGGCATCTGCGGCGTTGTAGACATAGCCTTCGTTGCAGGACATGAGGTAACCACCATCGCCCATGCAGATGCAAAAGCTTGAGCTGTCGCAATTTAGAGACGGGTATGTCAGAGACTCAGCAGCACCCTGACAGGTGGCTTGATCGCAGTCCACCTAGAGTACGCACGACACAGTTTATAGATGGATTTCCATGGACTTAGATGGATTTACTTACACTGGGTATGGGCTGACATATCCCGTAGGTCGAATCAAAGGCGGTGTTGGACTGACAGGATACGATGGTAGCCTCCTTGTTAAGGCACATGTAGAACTTGCTGGTGTCTCCAGCTACTGGGTAGGTCGTATCGTCGGCCGCCGTGGCACACAGCTTTGCATCACATTTCGTTGCGGCGGAGCACAGTCCTGTGACATTATTGAATGCCTCGCCGACTGCACAGTCCACCACTTGGGCCACTCCGTCGGTGCAGAGGTAGTACTTTGTGCAGATTGGGTGGGGCACGGCTCCAGAGGCGCAGGTACAGGGGTTGATGCATTGCGCGGTGACATCAATCTCGCATATCTCTCCATTGTACCACTCGCCAGCGGCACACGAGTGCTGGGAGGCCAGGCCGTTGTAGCATCTGAAGTAGCTTGTGCAGTCATCCGGGTTGGGAAGTTGGTAGCCGTTGGGTTTGTTGGCACACACCCAGCAAGTGGCGCCTGTGTCGGGCACGCAGACACCGTCCTTCACCACATTTCCCACGCCACAGCTGCCCTCGACCATCTCACCATTCTCGCAAATCAGGTACTTGCCACAGTCGGTGGGATGGCACACAATGGAGCCTTGTGCAATGCCTCCAGGACAGCAGGGGGCCTCTTCGTTGTTCTCCGACTCCACACTGCGCCTAGCGCGTTGGCTGACGATGAGGCTGGTGTTGCCGATGGGGGGTCTGATGCTGTAGAATGACTTGTTTTCGGGACAGACAGCACCCTCGTCAGCTTTGCAGATACCTACGGCCGGGTCGAAGTAGTAATCTTTGCTGCAGTTCTCCTCCTGCCACCTGCCGTTAATGCACGTCTGGTAGCTCCAGCAGTTCGAGCCGCTTGCGGCCGGATCGCTCACGTTGCACTCGTCAGTGGAAGAATTCACACACACATTTTCGGAGTCTATTGTGCAAACGGATAATGTGGTGTTGAAGTAGCTGCCATTGACGCAGCTTGCTGACTGCCAGACTCCATTCCGGCACTCGTAGTACTTTGCGCAGTTCTGAGCATCTACCAGCTTCTCATCGTCTTTGCACTCCGCCTCAGAGCTATCGGGACACTCATTTTCAGAATCGATCTGGCACACACTGAGGTTGACGTTGAAGAAGTTTCCCTTGCCACAATCTCCGGAGATCAGGACGCCGTCCACGCAGATGTTATACAGTCGGCAATTCTGTTCGTTGGCAACGAGTTCACCGTTCTTCACATTATCAGCACAATCACAGCCGGTGGTGGGTTCTGTTACGGTCGTCACCTCATCGCAGGGTTCCGTTGTGGTCGTCACCTCATCACAAGGTTCGGTTGTGGTCGTCACATCATCGCAGGGTTCGGTTGTAGTCGTCACATCATCGCAAGGCTCCACTGTGGTGGTGTCATCGCATTTGCCGGGTTGACAGTTCCAGCCATCGGCGTTAAAGATACTGCCGACCGGGCAGTTCTGGATGGTCGCGCTGTCGCTGGAGCAGACGTAAAACACGGAGCAGTTGGTCTTGTCAGCGACGGCTGAGCCATCTGCCTTTCCAACGCAGAAGTTCTGCCAGCAGATGGAGTCTGTGTCGGCGGTGCAAACCTTCAGGCTGTCGTCGAAGTAGGAATTCAGGGGGCACTTCTCTAATGTGGTCACACCATCTAAGCATGAGTAGTAGTTGGCACATAAATCGTCGTTGGTCGGAAGTGAGCCATCGGGTTCTCCCACGCATAGGTTCTGCCAGCAGGTCTTCTCAGTATCCGGAATGCAGACTCCAAGCGTGTTGTTGAAAACGCTGCCGGCGGAGCACTTCTGGGCGTATGCCTGTTGGTCGTCACAGATGTAGTATTCACCGCAGAACCCGCTCTTTGGCAGAAATGCTCCGGTCACCTCGTCAGTGCAAACGTTTGTTGCCTACGGATGGGGCGCTAGTTATACTTGCGGGCGGATTAGAGAACAACGGGGACACTTACCACGGACAGGGGAGCCACAAAGCTCAGTTTGCAGAGTCCTCGTCCGGCGGTGGCACACTTGCCGTTCTTGGGGTTGTATTCTTTTCCGGCTGGACAGGTCAGAGCCCGTACAGTGCCCTTGGCCGAGCAGCGGTAATAGCTGGAGCAGCTCGTGGGGTTCGGCCAGTGGGGCGACAGACCACGCAATTTGCGGTAGACGCATTCAGGATCGGCAGCTCCGACAAGGACCGCCACTGTAGTGAGTGTCACCACAGCTAGCAGAGCAACTAAAAAATGAAATCGTGAGTCAAGCGTCCCACTCTCAAGAGTCCTGAACTTGCTTACCTCTCATTTTCATTTATTATTTTATAAAAAAAAAAAATGTTCGATTATATTCCACTTGTGATGCTTTACTAATGATGAATGATGAACTCTGCACAATTGCCAAAATTTGGAACCCTTTATATACAATACATAGTGGGTGATTGCCAGCGATCTTCATTTGCCTTCGCTGGCAGCCCTTATCTCATTCAATTATGTTGATCGTGTCGAACACGCGCCCATCTTGTCAGTTTAATTGAGGTGTGAACTCTTCCGTGGGTTCCTGGAAGGCGACGAAGATCTATCGACTACGACCACTCCCCATTCGTAGCTCGGAATCTTCAAAATTATGAATGGAACTGTATTTCAGGAACTACGGTTCTCGTTTCTAGATCGCTTAGATCCAAGTATATGGGAACACTAAATATAAAATGCATGGAGGCTTGAAACCTGCTTTTCATAACACTTTATTTACAAGCCGTACCGCAGGTTAATTCCTTCGAGTCCCAGAAGAGCTCGTCTGGACAAGTATGTATATATCCCACATTACCATCGCACTGGATAAACATATGACAATCGTAGGGATATTGCAAGTAGTGCGCTGTTGGATATGCCTGGCAAACGGCGGTCGCGTCTATGTTGGGAGGAGCTTTTGTTGTTGGGGGTGTATCAGTAGATTCATCCGATGGATCCGATTGTGCAATAGTAGTCTCTTCGGATGGATCCGAAAATGAACCGGTAGTTTCTCCGGATGGATCCGATGGAGCGTCAGTAGTCTCTCCCGATGGATCTGAAGGTGAACCAGTAGTTTCTCCGGATGGACCCGATGGAGCGTCAGTAGTCTCTCCCGATGGATCCGAAGGTGAACCAGTAGTTTCTCCGGATGGATCCGATGGAGCCTCAGTAGTTTCTTCCGATGGATCCGATGGTGCATCAGTAGTTTCTCCCGATGGGTCAGAGGAGGCATCAGTTGGATCATCGTCGGTGGGTCCTGGCGTCGAAGTATCAGTTGTTCCTAGGGATGTTTCCATTGAGTCGTCATCTGTGGGATTGGGTGTGGTTGACGTTGGTTTCGACGTAGTTCCTGGTGCAACGCTAGTCGACGTGGGACGGACACATCTTCTGGCGTTGAGGGAAGTCGCCAGGAGCATTAGCTGCAAGGAGATGAATATCCAGACCACTGGCACCATCAATGGCGGTTTGCCTTAGTACCTTTTAGGATATTATTTGTATGCTTAACTTACGTTTCATATCATTCAGTAGTTGACTTGATTCACTATTAACCCAAACTAATGGTCTGTTCATCATTGTCCAGTTATTTATACCATTTGCAAGTGCACCACAGCTGCACTGTCATCTGCATCTAATTAGCATACACAAGACACCGATGTGTTCTTCTTATCTTGATATACATGATACATGATGATTGTCCTATGATAGTAGTGGGAGAGATACTACTTATTACTACTCGTAATTAATTCGATTTAATTAATAAATTAATTGAAGGTAGATCCTTGTTGGTAATCTTATTGTTAGCATCTTTGTCGAATTTCATCTGAATTCCATTAGATTTTCAATGCAATTAAGGCCAGATAGTCTATTCAATGTCGTATGAAAGAGTTTCGAAATACTTCAAATCAATTTATGACAGTTTAAAACTGATTAGATAATAATTGAAAAATTTTCGTAGTCAGAATTAAGTAAAGGGACTTTTTCCCATTGTTTTTGGAGGTAATGTCCTCTGATTGTTGGTATTATTATAAAAGAAAATCATTTTCTATGTCAAAAAATTAATATCCAAGTTCAAGATACCATTAGTAAACGTAGCTACTTTTGGTTTACTTTTGATTCGATTAAAACGGAAATGAAAGCACCCTCTTTAATGTAAGATAAGATAAGATCGGTATTTTGGGCAATGGGTAACGGGTACGTGGGGCTTGGGAACAGTATAGTGTCAGGCGACGGGGACCAGCAGTTTGACATTCACAGTTTATTGTTTCGCACATCGCCAATTTGGTATTGCATATTTTCGGGGCAATTTCTGAATTACTAACTTAAAATTCTTTATAGACTGTGTACAAAGTAGTTGTATGTTGCTTATGTATTCCCTGTTAACTCTTGATTATACCCGATACTCAAAATGAGTATAGTATATGTGTGTAATGTCCAGAAGGAAGCGTTTCCGACCCCATAAAGTATACATATATTTTCTTGATCAGCATCAATAGCCGAGTCGATCCGAGCGAAATTTTGCATCCAGACTTCTGTGATATGTCACTGTTGCAAGTGTATTGTATTGTATTGTATTTCTACAATATTGAAGATACGAGAAAACTAAAAACACAATCATAAAGACTGAGCATATCTACCAGATTGCCGAATCTGGATAAGATCGGATCATTTGTATAGCTAAAAGGAACAAATTAATTTGTAGGGGCTACGCAGCCCCGACGACACGTTAAGACACGTTTTCTGTCTCTCCCGCACGCACTCTTTGTCATGTAGCCATTGACTAAGTATCGGGTATAAATGTAGAGTTCCGGTCGCAGCAGCAACTCACAACGTTCCCCCTCGTTATTAAAATAGCCTGGAAACTGAATATTTTCAAAACACCGGTCAGATTTTTCGTTCAGATCATGACTCACTTAACTTTTAAATGGCTGTTGAGATTGGCTTTTTAAGCACTGCATTGTAACCCACTTTTCAATGGAAACAAAGTTTCCATTTCTATATTTCTCAGAACACTTCTAGTTTTCCGTTCTAATCAATTGCATATGTACCTGTATGGAAAGATATTTTCCCGGTTCTCAGGAAGTATTATGAGTTACAGAAACTGAATGCTGTTGCATCTAAACCTTAATGCACATAAGACAAACCATAAGTCCGATTATAATCTAAATTTAAATATTATCTAAATCGCATAACCCGTTTTTAACATGAATTTACAGATTTAAGGAGATGCCTCTTTAAGACCAGGTATGCTATAGTCGACTCTCCACTGAATCACTGAAGCTTTTATATTTCTAAATCGGAAATCTACTCGTAAATTGCATTGGTAGATAAGAATGATAGGCCATAAAATGTTTATTTTACGTCGGCTTCCTATACAAGTGTAATCAAAATTGATTAGACATGAACGACGCAATGGGAAGTACAGAAAGGGGCTATATAAGCGGAATGCCCTAAGAATAATTGAAACATTGCCGCAACGTATTCACAAATATGAGAGGTAGGAGCATAACTTTTGGCTGCTGTACCAAACACTACTCGAAAGTTTGTTTTATGCTTACAGGTCTGAACAGGTCTGTGGTTACTCTTGGAATGCTTGCATACCTTGTGGGTCATGCGATCGCGTTGCCTGTTGAGGATGGTGCGACAGAGACCACAGCGGAGGAACAAACGATACTCGATTCCACAGCATCCGAATCGACAACATTAGATCCCAGCACTGAAACGGAGCCCCAAGAAATCGACACTACACTACCTGCCCCCGTTCTATGCGAAGAGGGCGAGGAATTCCTAGCAGCGCCTAAGTGTCAGCAGTACTATCAATGCTTGTATGGGGAGGGAGTTTTAAAACTCTGTCCATCAGGCCTCTACTGGGACCCTTCGCTAAATGTTTGCGGCTGGGACTCACAGTACTGTGAGAATATCGACGTTCCCGCTGGAACCGAGTCGCCAGATGACTGTTCATCTGGCCTACCGTTTCTACCCTACCTTAGTAAAATGGCTATATGTGCATTGCTTTGAATGACGTTTTTTTTCAACACGTGTTTTCTTGATTTATTTTATATTTTTATTTGGGTAGCTGTTAATAAGTACAAAACAAAAAGGCATAAAGAAATTCAATATCAATTTTTTTAATAACAAAAAAAAATAATTGTAAATTTTTCACATAGAAAATGGGTATAACAGCAAAAAATATTTTGTATGAAAAAAATTTCCAAGGAACAAGTTTATGGGAATATGTACTCTTTTAATAATTAATGGAGTTAAACTTATGCTCCTGAAGCTTTTGCAGCCCACTGTGCATTGAGTTCGGAAAGTTTTTTATTGTTGTTATTTCTATCCTGTTTCATTTTGCAACTATCGCTTGTTTTAATTGCTTCAATGTATCGTTCTGCCTTGTACAGGCATAGACTTTTGCTGCAAGGATTCCCCACAGATCCTCAATTGGATTTAAGTCCGGACTCATTGAAGCCCACTTAATCAACGGTTTATTGTGGGTCTCAAAATAGTCCATTGAGGCCCGGGAAACATGAATTGGCGCATTATCCTGCTGAAATGTCTATTGATCACCATGGAAATGCTCAGCAAATGAAAAAGGTTCACTATCTATCAATTCTATCTATGCTTGAGCATTCATCCGGCCGGATATTAAACATATTGGAGACCTCCCTTTAGCACTAAAGGCAGCCCATATCATTAGCGATCCATCACCATGGTTTGGCTTGTAGCAAGTTGCCCGTGGATGACGCGGGTCTCTCCAATATTTATGATGGACATCTGAACCGTGTAAACTCATTTTTTTTTCATCACTAAAAATGAAATTTTCTAATTCGGGGTCCCAGAACTTTTGTTTTTCAAAAATGACATGCGCGCATCATTATGACGTTTAGTTTAGAGGAGTTTGCCCACTTTCTTTTGATATGTCAGGTTAAAATTTTCGTTCAAAATTTGGCTCACACGTTGCCTGGGGATTGTTAACCCGAGTTCTGCCTTGATTTTGTTGCAGCTCATTAGGTCTTCAGTTGCAAACTGCCCCAAGTGCCGTTTTGTCAATTCTATTATGGTTGATACTGGGCCAAGTCGACGATTTATGCGGTAACCGTCTGGATCTATGAACATTTTTGAAATAGTATTTTGATGTCGATACATTAGCGAAGCTATTCGACCAGTTTTTATGCCGGCTAATTTCATTCTCTTGATCCTTCCCTGTTCTTCCTCAGAAAATGATTTACCATGTGGCATTTTTAACTAAAATGGAATTTTTTTTTTTAAATTTGTATTGCTTTGAAGCAATAATGAGTGCTTACGTACAGAATCAATCAGCTTGTCACTTTTACTGAAAAGATGCTAACACTGCGACTCTCAAAACATGAATAGACATGATTGCACATATATCTATTTTCTACGTAGAGCGCGAGCTTGATCTCTTATCTAAGCTAATGGAACCACAAATGGAGTTCAAAGAAGACGAAAATTTGTCATAACTGAGCACAACAATAAGAGATAAGAACTGCATAGTCAAACCCAACAAGCATCTATTACTTTTTAAGAAAAATTGAAAATAAGTTTTGCACATATAGCCATTTTACTAAGGTATGAGCCGGACTGCAGCAAGTACATTCAGTGTGTCTACAATATCGGAATTAGGCAGAACTGTCCGAGTGGGCTTTTCTGGAGCCAGCCACTCCAGAGCTGTGACTACACATGCGACTCCCGCTTTGCGTACCCTGAAGACAATCAGGAGCAATGAACGTTTATGTCGTAACAAACGAAAATGCGTTCCCAATAAATGCAATAATACAAAACAATTATATTTTTGTAGCCGACAACTCAAGAGGTTTCCCCTTATAGATAACGGGTTTCACACAAAAAGATCTGATAAGAAGTGCAATGAGCTACCTATAGCGTTACTTATAAATATCAATGCACAACGCCCGAGTATCACTTCTCTAAATGTTTGTCTTTAACTCATACGCGAATTCGTTACGCTCCCCAACTGTTAAAAGACCAACGATGTCTTTGAAGGCTTCTTCACGAGATTTATTCAGCTTTACAATATTACTAGTAGTGCTCAGCCAAATCATACTCAAAAAAGCAGAGAGTGCCTCGGTTGAAAAAGTGCATTTAAAAAGTGCGCAAGTGAAAAACAATCTAATTGAATATGACTCACAGTTTGGCCGAGATACAAAATTTAATCATAAAAAAACAACTATAGCAAACGATATTACATCTGCACATGAAGAGAGAACATCAGCCGCACATTCGACTTTTGCACCTGCGGAGAGCACCACAGCTGGGGACAATACGACTTCTGCTCCGGAAGAAAAAAACACATCTGAGGACGATACTACTCGTTCTACTTCTGAAGAAAGCACAAAAGCTAATGATTCGACATCTGCAGCCCCTGATATAAGCACCACAGTTCAAGATTCGACATCTGAACCTGAAGAAAGCACCACAGCTAAGGACGACTCTACTTCTGCTCCTGAAAAAAGCACCACAGCTGAAGGGGATTCTACTGCTGCTCCTGAAGAAAGCACCACAGCTGATAATTCGACATCCAAACCTGTAGAAAGCACTACAGCTGAGGAGGATACTACTTCTTCTTCTGAAAAAAGCACAACAGCTGAAGGGGATTCTACTGTTGCTCCTGAAGAAAGCACCACAGCTGAAAATTCGACATCCAAACCTGTAGAAAGCACTACAGCTGAAGGAGATTCTACCTCTGCACCTGATGAAAGCACCACAGCTGAAGATTCGACGTCTGAACCTAATGAAAGTACCACAACTGAGGTCGAAACTACTTCTTCTCCTGAAGAAAGCACCACAGCTGAAGATTCGACATCAGAGCCTGACGAAAGCACCACAGCTGAAGAGGATTCGACGTCTGAACCTGAAGAAAGCACTTCAGCTGAAAGCGATTCTACTTCTGCTCCTGAAGAAAGCACCACAGCTGAAGATTCGGCATCTGAGCCTGAAGAAAGCACCACAGCTGAAGGCGATTCTACTTCTGCTCCTGAAGAAAGAACCACATCTGAAGATTCGAGTTCTACTGCACCGGAGATAAGTACCACAGGTGAAGATTTGACATCTGAACCTGAAGAAAGCCCCACAGCTGAGGACGATTCTACTTCTGCTCCAGAAAAAAGCACCACAGTTGAAAATTCGACATCCGAGCCTGAAGAAAGCACTACAGCTGAAGGCGATTCTACTTCTGCTCCTGAAGAAAGCACCACAGCTGAAGATTCGGCATCTGAGCCTGAAGAAAGCACCACAGCTGAAGGCGATTCTACTTCTGGTCCTGAAGAAAGCACCACAGCTGAAGATTCAACTTCCGCGGCAACTGAGATAAGCACCACAGCTGAAGATTCGACATCTGAACCTGAAGAAAGCACCACAGCTGAGGACGATTCTACTTCTGCTCCAGAAAAAAGCACCACAGTTGAAAATTCGACATCCGAGCCTGAAGAAAGCACTACAGCTGAAGGCGATTCTACTTCTGCTCCTGAAGAAAGCACCACAGCTGAAGATTCGGCATCTGAGCCTGAAGAAAGCACCACAGCTGAAGGCGATTCTACTTCTGGTCCTGAAGAAAGCACCACAGCTGAAGATTCAACTTCCGCGGCAACTGAGATAAGCACCACAGCTGAAGATTCGACATCTGAACCTGAAGAAAGCCCCACAGCTGAGGACGATTCTACTTCTGCTCCAGAAAAAAGCACCACAGTTGAAAATTCGACATCCGAGCCTGAAGAAAGCACTACAGCTGAAGGCGATTCTACTTCTGCTCCTGAAGAAAGCACCACAGCTGAAGATTCGGCATCTGAGCCTGAAGAAAGCACCACAGCTGAAGGCGATTCTACTTCTGCTCCTGAAGAAAGAACCACATCTGAAGATTCGAGTTCTACTGCACCGGAGATAAGTACCACAGGTGAAGATTTGACATCTGAACCTGAAGAAAGCCCCACAGCTGAGGACGATTCTACTTCTGCTCCAGAAAAAAGCACCACAGTTGAAAATTCGACATCCGAGCCTGAAGAAAGCACTACAGCTGAAGGCGATTCTACTTCTGCTCCTGAAGAAAGCACCACAGCTGAAGATTCGGCATCTGAGCCTGAAGAAAGCACCACAGCTGAAGGCGATTCTACTTCTGCTCCTGAAGAAAGAACCACATCTGAAGATTCGAGTTCTACTGCACCGGAGATAAGTACCACAGGTGAAGATTTGACATCTGAACCTGAAGAAAGCCCCACAGCTGAGGACGATTCTACTTCTGCTCCAGAAAAAAGCACCACAGTTGAAAATTCGACATCCGAGCCTGAAGAAAGCACTACAGCTGAAGGCGATTCTACTTCTGCTCCTGAAGAAAGCACAACAGTTGAAGATTCGACCTCCGAACCTGAAGAAAGCTCGACAACTGAAGGCGATTCTACTTCTGCTCCTGAAGAAAGCACCACAACTGAAGATTCGACGTCTGACCCTAATGAAAGTACCACAACTGAAGTCGATACTACTTCTGCTCCTGGAGAAATCACCACAGCTGAAGATTCGACATCAGATCCTGAAGAAAGCACCACAGCTGAAGATGATTCTACTTCTGCTCCTGAAGTCACCACTACAGCTGATGACGATACTACTTCTGCTCCTGAAGAAAGCACCACGGATGAAGTTTCGACATCTGAACCTGAAGAAAATCCCACGGCAGAGGACGATTTTACTTCTACTCCTGAAGAAAGCACCACAGCTAAGGACGATTCTTCTTCTGCTCCTGAAGAAAGCACCACAGCTGAAGATTCAACTTCCGCGGCACCTGAGCTAAGCACCACAGCTGAAGATTCGACGTCTGAGCCTAAAGAAAGCACTACAGCTGAAGGAGATTCTACTTCTGCTCCTGAAGAAAGCACCGCAGTTGAAGATTCGACATCCGAGCCTGAAGAACGCACCACAGCTGAAGAGGATTCTACTTCTGCTCCTGAAGTCACCACTACAACTGATGACGATACTACTTCTGCTCCTGAAGAAAGCACCACAGCTGAAGTTTCGACATCTGAACCTGAAGAAAACTCCACGGCAGAGGACGATTCTACTTCTACTCCTGAAGAAAGCACCACAGCTGCGGACGATTCATCTTCTTCTCCTGAAGAAAGCACCACAGCTGAAGATTCGACTTCCGCGGCACCTGAGATAAGCACCACAGCTGAAGATTCGACGTCTGAACCTGAAGAAAGCACTACAGCTGAAGGAGATTCTACTTCTGCTCCTGAAGAAAGCACCACAGCTGAAGATTCGACTTCCGCGGCAACTGAGAATATCACCACAGCTGAAGATTCGACGTCTGAATCTGAAGAAAGCACTTCAGCTGAAGGCGATTCTACTTCTGCTCCTGAAGAAAGCACCAAAGCTGAAGATTCGACATCTGAACCTGAAGTCACCACTACAGCTGAAGATTCGACATCAGAGCCTGAAGAAAGCACCACAGCTGAAGAGGATTCTACTTCTGCTCCTGAAGTCACCACTACAGCTGATGACGATACGACTTCTGCTCCTGAAGAAAGCACCACAGCTGAAGTTTCGACATCTGAACCTGAAGAAAACTCCACGGCAGATGACGAATCTACTTCTACTCCTGAAGAAAGCACCACAGCTGCGGACGATTCATCTTCTTCTCCTGAAGAAAGCACCACAGCTGAAGATTTGACTTCCGCGGCACCTGAGATAAGCACCACAGCTGAAGAATCGACGTCTGAACCTGAAGAGAGCACTACAGCTGAAGGCGATTCTACGTCTGCTCCTGAAGAAAGCACCACAGCTAAAGATTCGACTTCCGCGGCAACTGAGATAAGCACCACAGCTGAAGATTCGACATCTGAACCTGAAGAAAGCACCACAGCTGAGGACGATTCTACTTTTGCTCCAGAAAAAAGCACCACAGTTGAAAATTCGACATCCGAGCCTGAAGAAAGCACCACAGCTGAAGAGGATTCTACTTCTGCTCCTGAAGTCACCACTACAGCTGATGACGATACTACTTCTGCTCCTGAAGAAAGCACCACAGCTGAAGTTTCGACATCTGAACCTGAAGAAAACTCCACGGCAGAGGACGATTCTACTTCTACTCCTGAAGAAAGCACCACAGCTGAGGACGATTCATCTTCTTCTCCTGAAGAAAGCACCACAGCTGAAGATTCGACTTCCGCGGCACCTGAGATAAGCACCACAGCTGAATATTCGACGTCTGAACCTGAAGAAAGCACTACAGCTGAAGGAGATTCTACTTCTGCTCCTGAAGAAAGCACCACAGCTGAAGATTCGACTTCCGCGGCAACTGAGATAAGCACCACAGTTGAAGATTCGACATCCGAGCCTGAAGAAAGCACTACAGCTGAAGGCGATTCTACATCTGCACCAGATGAAAGCACCACAGCTGAAGAGGATTCTTCTTCTGCTCCTGAAGAAAGCACAACTGTTGAAGATTCAACCTCCGAACCTGAAGAAAGCACGACAACTGAAAGCGATTCTACTTCTCCTCCTGAAGAAAGCACCACAACTGAAGATTGGACATCTGAACCTGAAGAAAACTCCACGGCAGAGGACGATTCATCTTCTTCTCCTGAAGAAAGCACCACAGCTGAAGATTCTACTTCCGCGGCACTTGAGATAAGCACCACAGCTGAAGATTCGACGTCTGAACCTGAAGAAAGCACTACAGCTGAAGGAGATTCTACTTCTGCTCCTGAAGAAAGCACCACAGCTGAAGATTCGACTTCCGCGGCAACTGAGATAAGCACCACAGCTGAAGATTTGACATCTGAACCTGAAGAAAGCACCACAGCTGAGGACGATTCTACTTCTGCTCCAGAAAAAAGCACCACAGTTGAAAATTCGACATCCGAGCCTGAAGAAAGCACCACAGCTGAAGAGGATTCTACTTCTGCTCCTGAAGTCACCACTACAGCTGATGACGATACTACTTCTGCTCCTGAAGAAAGCACCACAGCTGAAATTTCGACATCTGAACCTGAAGAAAACTCCACGGCAGAGGACGATTCTACTTCTACTCCTGAAGAAAGCACCACAGCTGAGGACGATTCATCTTCTTCTCCTGAAGAAAGCACCACAGCTGAAGATTCGACTTCCGCGGCACCTGAGATAAGCACCACAGCTGAAGATTCGACGTCTGAACCAGAAGAAAGCACTACAGCTGAAGGCGATTCTACTTCTGCTCCTGAAGAAAGCACCACAGCTGAAGATTCGACTTCCGCGGCAACTGAGATAAGCACCACAGTTGAAGATTCGACATCCGAGCCTGAAGAAAGCACTACAGCTGAAGGCGATACTACCTCTGCACCAGATGAAAGCACCACAGCTGAAGAGGATTCTTCTTCTGCTCCTGAAGAAAGCACAACTGTTGAAGATTCAACCTCCGAACCTGAAGAAAGCACGACAACTGAAAGCGATTCATCTTCTTCTCCTGAAGAAAGCACCACAGCTGAAGATTCGACTTCCGCGGCACCTGAGATAAGCACCACAGCTGAATATTCGACGTCTGAACCTGAAGAAAGCACTACAGCTGAAGGAGATTCTACTTCTACTCCTGAAGAAAGCACCACAGCTGAGGACGATTCTACTTCTACTCCTGAAGAAATCACCACAGCTGAAGATTCGACATCAGATCCTGAAGAAAGCACCACAGCTGAAGAGGATTCTACTTCTGCTCCTGAAGTCACCACTACAGCTGATGACGATACTACTTCTGCTCCTGAAGAAAGCACCACAGCTGAAATTTCGACATCTGAACCTGAAGAAAACTCCACGGCAGAGGACGATTCTACTTCTACTCCTGAAGAAAGCACCACAGCTGAAGATTCGACTTCCGCGGCACCTGAGATAAGCACCACAGCTGAAGATTCGACGTCTGAACCTGAAGAAAGCACTACAGCTGAAGGCGATTCTACTTCTGCTCCTGAAGAAAGCACCACAGCTGAAGATTCGACTTCCGCGGCAACTGAGATAAGCACCACAGTTGAAGATTCGACATCCGAGCCTGAAGAAAGCACTACAGCTGAAGGCGATTCTACCTCTGCACCAGATGAAAGCACCACAGCTGAAGAGGATTCTTCTTCTGCTCCTGAAGAAAGCACAACTGTTGAAGATTCAACCTCCGAACCTGAAGAAAGCACGACAAGTGAAAGCGATTCATCTTCTTCTCCTGAAGAAAGCACCACAGCTGAAGATTCGACTTCCGCGGCACCTGAGATAAGCACCACAGCTGAAGATTCGTCGTCTGAACCTGAAGAAAGCACTACAGCTGAAGGCGATTCTACTTCTGCTCCTGAAGAAAGCACCACAGCTGAAGATTCGACTTCCGCGGCAACTGAGATAAGCACCACAGTTGAAGATTCGACATCCGAGCCTGAAGAAAGCACTACAGCTGAAGGCGATTCTACCTCTGCACCAGATGAAAGCACCACAGCTGAAGAGGATTCTTCTTCTGCTCCTGAAGAAAGCACAACTGTTGAAGATTCAACCTCCGAACCTGAAGAAAGCACGACAACTGAAAGCGATTCTACTTCTCCTCCTGAAGAAAGCACCACAACTGAAGATTGGACATCTGAACCTGAAGAAAACTCCACGGCAGAGGACGATTCATCTTCTTCTCCTGAAGAAAGCACCACAGCTGAAGATTCTACTTCCGCGGCACCTGAGATAAGCACCACAGCTGAAGATTCGACGTCTGAACCTGAAGAAAGCACTACAGCTGAAGGAGATTCTACTTCTGCTCCTGAAGAAAGCACCACAGCTGAAGATTCGACTTCCGCGGCAACTGAGATAAGCACCACAGCTGAAGATTCGACATCTGAACCTGAAGAAAGCACCACAGCTGAGGACGATTCTACTTCTGCTCCAGAAAAAAGCACCACAGTTGAAAATTCGACATCCGAGCCTGAAGAAAGCACCACAGCTGAAGAGGATTCTACTTCTGCTCCTGAAGTCACCACTACAGCTGATGACGATACTACTTCTGCTCCTGAAGAAAGCACCACAGCTGAAATTTCGACATCTGAACCTGAAGAAAACTCCACGGCAGAGGACGATTCTACTTCTACTCCTGAAGAAAGCACCACAGCTGAGGACGATTCATCTTCTTCTCCTGAAGAAAGCACCACAGCTGAAGATTCGACTTCCGCGGCACCTGAGATAAGCACCACAGCTGAAGATTCGACGTCAAAACCTGAAGAAAGCAGTACAGCTGAAGTTTCGACATCTGACCCTAATGAAAGTACCACAACTGAGGTCGAAACTACTTCTGCTCCTGAAGAAATCACCACAGCTGAAGATTCGACATCAGATCCTGAAGAAAGCACCACAGCTGAAGAGGATTCGACGTCTGAACCTGAAGAAAGCACCACAGCTGCGGACGATTCATCTTCTTCTCCTGAAGAAAGCACCACAGCTGAAGATTCGACTTCCGCGGCACCTGAGATAAGCACCACAGCTGAAGATTCGACGTCTGAACCTGAAGAAAGCACTACAGCTGAAGGCGATTCTACTTCTGCTCCTGAAGAAAGCACCACAACTGAAGATTCGACGTCTGACCCTAATGAAAGTACCACAACTGAGGTCGAAACTACTTCTGCTCCTGGAGAAATCACCACAGCTGAAGATTCGACATCAGATCCTGAAGAAAGCACCACAGCTGAAGAGGATTCTACTTCTGCTCCTGAAGTCACCACTACAGCTGATGACGATACTACTTCTGCTCCTGAAGAAAGCACCACAGCTGAAGATTCGACTTCCGCTGCACCTGAGATAAGCACTACGGTTAAGAATTCGACATCCGAACCTGACGAAAGCACTACATCTGAGGACGATTCTACATCTGCTCCTAAAGAAAGCACCACAGCTGAAGCCGATACAACGTCTGATCCTGAAGACAGCACAGTTCAGGACGATACTACTTCTGCTTCTGAAGAAAGCACCACAGGTAATTAGGATATTACTTCTGCTCCTGATAAGAGCCCCAGAGCTGATCATTTGACTTCTTCCTTGTAGAAATCACCACAGCTGAGGATGGTGCTACTTCTGCTCCTATAGAGAGCACCACTGCTAAAGTAGATTCTACCACTGGATCGACGTCTAGCCCGGCGACATCACCTTCTCCTATACCGCCTATGTCATGTGCAAGTGGCGCTCCATACTTACCGCATCCATCGGATTGCCATAAATTTATTCAGTGCAGCAACGGACATGAGTACATCATGCATTGTTCAGATGATCTCTTCTGGAACTATCAGATTTTCTACTGTGGGTATGATGACAGCGGATGCTATAATAAAGTGGATCCCGAGGAAACCGTTTGCAAGCACGGCATGGATTTTCTACCAGACTCAACTGATTGTACGAAATATATCCAGTGCAGTAATGGTCAACCAATCGTGCAGAAGTGTCCTGAGCCTTTGTATTGGAACCAAAACCTTAAAATATGTGATTGGTTCAGTAGCTCCTGCAAAACTCTACAAAAGAATGAAATAATATCTTGTAAAATGGGTATGAGTTTCGACGTTCTTCCAACTGACTGTTCGAAATATATTAAGTGTTTTGGTGAGCGCGGTGTAATAATGAGCTGTAATTCTGGACTTTTCTGGAACCCTTTGCAGGAAGTATGCGAAAAATCCCAGCGGTTCTGCAAATAATATGTAAGCTTAAACAGTTACTCGCATTCACTCTTGGTAGATTTTGTTGTTAAATGAATTGAAGAATATTACAGAAAATATATAAAGGCAGTACCCATTCTTTAATCTACTGATTTTGTTGGAGGTGGTGTAAACATGGTTGTATTTTTTCTGAATGAAAAAAAAAGGTACTTCAACTTGTGAAAAAATATTTGTATATTTTTTTGATTTCCTATGCGCAATGATGGTCCGCTGAATTTGCGGATAATATCCTTCGCCAATTTTTTGACTTTAAACTTAAAACTTACTTATACGAGTTGATGAAATGCGTTTGGTTAAGTTTGAAAATGTGATCAGTCAAATCGAAATATAAAGTGCCCCGGATCATCAAGAAAAACTAACGGTCTGCTTTTCTATCGTCTACAGAGTCTGAACGAGGAGATGCTCTCAATAGATCTCATTTTTGGTTGCATGCAAATTTAGTTCAATAGGCCTACGCAATTTGTTGGTGTGCTTTTTGTTTTGTGTTGATCTTATCAAACTGGGCTTCAATTAAAAATATTATTAGCCTTGAAAAATACCCCATACAGTGGTTGGGCCTTAAAAAATGAATATTTAATGCTTGAGCTCAATTCAAACACATGGCTTTTTAGAAGCTTTCAGCAGATAAGGGAAACTCGAGCTCAGGATTGATGCTATGGTGCTGGAGGGGCTTGATCTATAAATAGATATGACGATGGACTGTCTAACCAGAAAGCAAACCAAAATTTTTGATCCCAAAGGTTATCAAAACAAATTACTTCCGCCGCTTTATAAAACAGTTCCTTGTGAACTCGAAAAAGTAATTACTACGGACTCCACAACAGAGAGAGAGAGAGAGATACACGGAGCGTGAATGGCAAATGATCAGGGAAAGGGACACACTTGAAAATATATCCAAAAGATAGACAATTGGGTATCTTTATATGCTAATAAATGCCAGCACATTTCCTTAAAATGGGTCAAAAGTCTCCCCCATCCGTTGGCGAAGACGATGATGTTGTAATGCCCCTTCCAGAGATACACTCGATGGAGGGTGTCGCGGTCCCCCAGTCCCGTACTCAGCCAAGCCAAGTGATCGATTGACACGATCAAAGTGTTGATATGTAATGGAATAGACATAGACACTCCAATGAATGGCACTGGCGACGAGCTCAGAGCTCTAAGTGGCATGGCCTGTGTCTCTGTGTGGTTGTGGTTGTGTGGTGTGTGTTGTGGTGTGGTCTGGTGTGTCGTTATTATATGTATGCTATAGGGCAGATACTCGAACCAGACTTCTGTGATTGTGTGGGTCCTACATAAATATTCATGCTGCTGGCTAAATGCAAATGTATTGGAAATGACTCGCCTTCAATGAATTTGAGTTCTACTCAAGCTCTAGAGTTTTGATGCTCAGACAGCCCAACGTTATTCGCAATCCAGCAGTTGTCGCGTTCGGAAGCAGATCGGAACAATCCCCTGGAAACCTATTAGCATACAGGCAAAAACGTATGTGATATGGAAGAAACACAGTCGAATGAAGGACGAAAAAGTGAACCAAAAAAATATATTAAATCGCATTGAAGTCGGATAAAAGATTAAAAACAAATTGAGTCAAACACATGATCCATCGGCATATACATTTTTTTAAATTTTTTTTTCTTAGCAGAATATATTTACTTTTTTTTTTTTTTAATTTGTGCTGTGAAAATTAAAAAAATCTCTAAAAATGTTCACTTATTTTGCTGACATAACGAATCAAGAGATATCATTCTGGGTATTTCAGAGATATTAAGGACCTACTGGTTGCTAAAATGACTTGAACATTATTAAGATCAATCAACAAATTTCAATAAATGATCTTTCAGAAGAGATAGTGTACATAGATAGTGTTGTGTAGAATACATATAGAATTTGAGTTCTACTCATCCTCTAGAGCATAGATGCATCCCAGCGTTATTCGCAATCCAGCAGTTGTCCCGCTCGGAAGCAGGTCGGAACATTCCCCTGGAACCCTATTAGCAAAAAGGCGAAGAAGTATGTGATGTGAAAGACCCGGATTCCACTGAAGGACGAAAGAGTTAACCAAAAAATAAATTAAATCACATAGTTGGTTTAAGGATTAGAGCCAAATTAAGTCGGAAAAATCGTCGTATAAACTTTTCCTGACATCATCTGTTTCTTAATAGAATAAATGTTAACAGTAATATCAAACTAAAGGATCGCTTAGTGGTGTGAACTATTAAAAAATCTTCACGAGTTCTGGATCTTCCAGACCATGACTTAAAAATTCTTGAGATGGTTGCTATCTTTATCGTAAAATTGCTCAAAACCATCATTGTCAGATAAATATAATTCCAATCTTATACGTCTTCTGTACTAGTACACGCTTTTTCATCAAAATGAGATTCAAATTTATTAGCTTGTGCGATTACATCATGCCTAAAACGGAAATTGAGCCCAAGATCAATTGTTTTTTTTTGTATAATACTTTTTTGGCATCAAATAGAATCGTGTGTCCCCATTCGGAAGAGAAGAGATAACCCCTCAGATGGGAGGGAATATAAACTAATATTAACGAGCATGTGTGTTGTCCAATCAAATGTGTTGATAATACAATTAAATTTCATCTTACAGTTTGCTGGTTGTGTTGAGTCGACGTCGACACGCTTCAATTGGATTCGGAATTAGATTTATTGAAATGCTGCCCTTTCGCTGGGGCCTGCTACTAGGCATTGTGGTGCTCATAGCGTGCGCCAATGGAGCAGCTATCGTAAGTGTCAAAATTGTTAATGAAACCCAAGAGCTGGTGCTCGTAGCTGTGTGTTTGGCTGTGTGGAACTACTTGTGGTTCAATGTAAATGAACTCGTCCCAATAGTGTGCGATAACACCCAATTTGACCAAGGTCAGTTCCAGACACAGAATCGAATTAGGCACGGACCCAGTACTCGCTTAAATGGCTCGTGATAAAGCTGACATTAGCATTGACCTTAACTTTGTTCAACACTTGCAGGATCAATCGTCGCAGAACGAAGATGAACTCTCTGGTCTGTCTGATTTGGAGCGATCAAAGAGAAGCGGAAGAGGCTAGTAAGTAGGATAAAAATTGATCAGACTTATATAATCAAAATGAATCATTAAAACCTATTAGTGCAAGAGGACAGACGCAGTCGCAGTACTTGAACTTTGGCAAGCCCGAAGAGGATGGCAAGGCCGAGGCAGAGGCTAACGAAAGCGGCTCACGCTCGACAGTTTGTAAGTGATACTGGCAGAGTCCGTATAGCTTGAACGGGTGTAATGAATGTCTGATAATTCTTTAGCTGGCAGCCACGGAATGGGGCAGGCCCAGAGTCAGTTCTCCTCGGGAGATTGCAGCGGCTGTTCCGGCTATCAAACTGGAAGCTCACTCGATGGCAGTGGAGGTCTTATAGGAAGACCCGATGCTATTATTAGTCTACCAAGTGCAGGTTAGTTAATCCGTGACATATATTTTCTTTGGTGGTATCTGAAGGAATTACTTATTTAGATGCTGTTAGCGGCTTTGGTGGACAGCCTGGATTTCGGAGTCAGCCCGGTTCCGGAAGTCCAGTTGGTGGGCAGCCTGGTATTGGAGGATTTCCAGGAGTCACTGGGGGACAAGCTGGACAGCCAGGACTTGGAGCTGGTCACCAAGGACTTGATGGAAAACATCCTGGCGGGGGAGAAATAATTAGTGGGCCAGGAATCGACGGACGACAAACGGGTGCTGCTGGACAGCCCGGGTACGTAACTCAGCCTGGAGCTGAGGATCAGTCTGGAGGTCAAACCATATACGGAACACAACCAGGAGTTGGTGAACAGACAGGTATCGGCAGCGGACAGCCCGGATTTGGGGCTCAACCTGTAGTTGGAGGTCAACCCGGATACGGAACACAAGCAGGAGTTGTTGGACAGCCAGGTATCGGTAGCGGACAGCCCGGATTTGGGGCTCAACCTGTAGTCGGAGGTCAGCCCGGATATGGAACACAACCAGGAGTTGGTGGACAGACAGGTATCGGTGGCGGACAGCCCGGATATGGAGGTCAATCTGGGGTTGGAGGTCAACCTGGATACGGAACACAACCAGGAGTTGGTGGACAGACAGGTATCGGTGGCGGACAGCCCGGATATGGAGGTCAATCTGGGGTTGGAAGTCAACCTGGATACGGAACACAACCAGGAGTTGGTGGACAGACAGGTATCGGTGGCGGACAGCCCGGATATGGAGGTCAATCTGGAGTTGGAGGTCAACCTGGATATGGAACACAACCAGGAGTTGGTGGACAGACAGGTATCGGTGGCGGACAGCCCGGATATGGAGGTCAATCTGGGGTTGGAGGTCAACCCGGGTACGGAACACAATCAGGAGTTGGCGGACAGCCTGGATTTGGAGGTCAACCTGGAACTGGAGGTAAAACTGTATACGGAACACAACCAGGAGTTAGTGGACCGACAGGTATCGGTGGCGGACAGCCCGGATATGGAGGTCAATCTGGGGTTGTAGGTCAACCTGGATACGGAACACAACCGGGAGTTGGTGGACAGACAGGTATCGGTGGCGGACAGCCCGGATATGGAGGTCAACCCGGATACGGAACACAACCAGGAGTTGGTGGACAGACAGGTATCGGTGGCGGACAGCCCGGATATGGAGGTCAATCTGGGGTTGGAGGTCAACCCGGATACGGAACACAACCAGGAGTTGGCGGACAGCCTGGAACTGGAGGTAAATCTGGATACGGAACACAACCAGGAGTTAGTGGACCGACAGGTATCGGTGGCGGACAGCCCGGATATGGAGGTCAATCTGGGGTTGTCGGTCAACCTGGATACGGAACACAACCGAGAGTTGGTGGACAGACAGGTATCGGTGGCGGACAGCCCGGATATGGAGGTCAATCTGGGGTTGGAGGTCAACCTGGATTCGGAACACAACCAGGAGTTGGTGGACAGACAGGTATCGGTGGCGGACAGCCCGGATATGGGGGTCAATCTGGGGTTGGAGGTCAACCCGGATACGGAACACAACCAGGAGTTGGTGGACAGCCTGGATTTGGAGGTCAACCTGGAACTGGAGGTCAACCTGGATTCGGAACACAACCAGGAGTTAGTGGACCGACAGGTATCGGTGGCGGACAGCCCGGATATGGAAGTCAATCTGGGGTTGGAGGTCAACCCGGATACGGAACACAACCAGGAGTTCGTGGACAGACAGGTATCGGTGGCGGACAGCCCGGATATGGAGGTCAATCTGGGGTTGGAGGTGAACCCGGATACGGAACACAACCAGGAGTTGGCGAACAGCCTGGATTTGGAGGTCAATCTGGGGTTGGAGGTAAATCTGGATACGGAACACAACCAGGAGTTAGTGGACCGACAGGTATCGGTGGTGGACAGCTCGGTTTTGGAGGTCAACCTGGAGTTGGAAGTCAACCCGGATACGGAACCCAACCAGGAGCTAGTGGACAGACAGGTATCGGTGGCGGACAGCCGGGATATGGAGGTCAATATGGGGTTGGAGGTCAACCCGGATACGGAACACAACCAGGAGTTGGTGCACAGACAGGTATCGGTGGCGGACAGCCCGGATATGGAGGTCAATCTGGGGTTGTAGGTCAACCTGGATACGGAACACAACCGGGAGGTGGTGGACAGACAGGTATCGGTGGCGGACAGCCCGGATATGGAGGTCAGTCTGGGGTTGGAGGTCCACCTGGATACGAAACACAACCAGGAGTTGGTGGACAGATAGGCATCGGTGGAGGACAGCCCGGATATGGAGGTCAATCTGGGGTTGGAGGTCAACCCGGATACGGCATACAACCAGGATTTGGCGGACAGCCTGGATTTGGAGGTCAACCTGGAACTGGAGGTAAATCTGGATACGGAACGCAACCAGGAGTTAGTGGACCGACAGGTATCGGTGGTGGACAGCTCGGGCTTGGAGGTCAACCTGGAGTTGGAGCTCAACCCAGCTACGGAACCCAAGCAGGAGTTGGTGGACCGACGGGTATCGGTGGTGGACAACCCGGATATGGAGGTCAATCTGGGGCTGGAGGTCAACCCCGTTACGGAACCCAACCAGGATTTGGTGGACAGCCTGGACTTGGAGGTCAACGTGGAGCTGGAGGTCAACCCGGATATGGAACACAACAAGGAGTTGGTGTACAGACTGGTATCAGTGGTGGACAACCAGGATATGGAGTTCAATCTGGGGCCTTAGGTCAACCCGGATACGAAGCCCAACCAGGATTTGGTGGACAGCCTGGATTTGGAGGGCAACCTGGAGCTGGAGGTCAATCCGGATACGGAACACAACCAGGAGTTGGTGGACAGACTGGTATCGGTGGCGGACTGCCCGGATTCGGGGCTCAACCTGGAGTTGGAGGTCAACCCAGTTACGGAACCCAAGCAGGAGTCAGTGGACAGCCTGCTATCGGTGGGAGACAGCCAGGATACGGAGCACAACCCGTAGTTGGGGGGCAGACTGGTATCGATGGAGGACACCCCGGATTTAGAGGTCAACCCGGATACGGAACACAACCAGGAGTTAGTGGACAGACAGGTGTCGGTGGCGGACAGCCCGGATATGGAGGTCAATCTGGAGTTGGAGGCCAACCCGGATACGGAACACAACCAGGCGTTGGTGGACAGACAGGTGTCGGTGGCGGACAGCCCGGATATGGAGGTCAACCTGGAGTTGGAGGTCAACCCAGCTACGGAACCCAACCAGGAGCTAGTGGACAGACAGGTATCGGTGCCGGACAGCCCGGATATGGAGGTCAATCTGGAGTTGGAGGTCAACCCGGGTACGGAACACAACCAGGCGTTGGTGGACAGACAGGTGTCGGTGCCGGACAGCCCGGATATGGAGGTCAACCTGGAGTTGGAGGTCAACCCGGATACGGAACCCGACCAGGAGTTGGTGGACAGACAGGTATCGGTGGCGGACAGCCCGGATTTATAGGTCAACAGCCCGGAGCAGGAGGATCGCAGTTTGATGGAAGGCACCCGGGAACCGGTGTTACTTCAGATGGCCAAGTAGGTGCTCCGGGACGGTATACAGCTGGAGCTAGTGTCACTCCTGGAGCTGCTGGTGTTGGTAAGTGTTGAATCCTCTGTACACCGATAGAAAATGAATGACTTGAAAATTTTAGGCGCGCCAAGTACAGTTGCCGGCGGAGCTGATGACACATTTTCTCAAGCGGCGTCCACTATTGGGAACGGCCAGGCATCTGCCAGTGCCGAGGGCAAAAAGAATGGCGGAACAGCTAAGACCCAAGTATCCGGCACATACAGTACGGGCGGTTCTTTCAGCGCTAGTGCAATGACTTCCGACGCAGATCGGGCTGCCAGCGCCCAGGTTACTGGCAATGCTGATGGCGCTATGAGCCAGTCCCAAGGCTCTGGAGGACCGGCCCAGTCCCAGGCCCAAGTGCAGGTTAACTCGAAGGATGGAGGCACCAAGGCTTCATCACAGAGTGGGGGTCTGATTCACCAGAGCCAGAGTGAGGTGCAGGCCAACGATAAGGGCGGCTTGGCCGATGCCCAGTCCAGCGGACCGGGCCAAACCTCTTCCCAAGCTCAAATCGGCTTCCGTCCAGGTCAGGATACCAGTTCGGTAGTGGCACCAGGTGGCGGACAGGCTTCCGCACAATCGGGCAGCCATTCTGGCCAGAGCCAGTCTCAGATCCAAGGAACTTCCAGGTAATCACAGAGTGCGGCAGGACGGTATACCAGAACTCTAAGCGACTTCTATTTTCAGCTTTGGGGTATCATATCACGGCGCTGCACAGTCCGCATCAGGAACTAAGGAGCAGGTGGACACCTATCGGGAGCAAAATCGAGAGCTCTTCAATACAATCAGCCAGTTTGGCAACAGTGGAAATGCGTAGGTACTCCTAGAATGGAATTTTCGCCCCATTTAACAAATATGTATTTCCTTTTTAGTGTAACCGATCGGGCTGATGCCGTCTTTAGTGGCCCGGCACTCACGTCTGAATCTGATTCAATACCCGAGCTGCAGCTGAAGTCTACAAAGACAAGCAAGGAAGAGCCTGAGAAGGTCGATAAGAAGCCAGATCAATCGGAACCAGTTCAATACGACGACGAGGAAGAGGACGAGGGGGATGAATACGACGAGGATGAGTACTACAACGAGAAACCTGTCAAGCTAGAGGAGGGTCCAAAGCCACCGAACAAGATTAAGGATTCGGAGTCCACACCTCATCCACAGACCTATACCCAGTCGTCCCCCACGCAGAAGCAGCAGGCAGTAGTGGCCCCATTGCCAGCGGAAAAGTACCAGCTGGTGCAGAAACAGAACGGACTCATTAATAGCTACTCGGAGCGATCAACCACAGAGTCCGTGCCCAGTGGGTTCCGCGGCACGGTGAACGTTCAAAAGAAGTTTCACACAAAGTCGCTTGAGCTTCATAATACCGACAAGAAGGTCGAAATCAGTGCCGACACTGACTCCGATGCCCCGAGTACACCCACTCGCGGTAGCAAAGCGCCTCGCGCACCAGACAGCTATGTAACAGTCACCAAGTCGGTGACTGGAAGCATGGACAATAGCAAGAACCCACCGCAGGATAACAAGAACTTCCAGTCCACGTACTACACCAAGTCCTCGACCTGCGGATACTTCACCTTCTCCTGTAACATTGTCTACGGAGCGAATGGACGCAGCAAGATCTGTCGCCCAAAAGCCCCAGCCAATGGCAAGTGCTAAAGGGGATGCAAGCCCACGCCCACCCACCCCACATTATAGTAGATCAGTTCCCAAGGGGCTCAATTTTAGAACAGTCCATCTAACTGTCACCAAAAACACCCCCCCATATTTGTATTTTTATGCAGCAAGTTCTTAAGCATTTAAGTGTTTTTTTGCAAATAATTTTAGCATCTTACTGCCATTTCTTAAATATTTCATAGGCTTTGCAATTGTAATTAATATTTAATAAAAGTCATAAGAAAACAGAAAGTATCCCATTGTTTGAGAGCCGCGAACTTGTGGAAATATTCTTTACAAATTTACTTAAAAAACACAGTACTGGGCTTGAATTTGACTTTGGTTATTGAAGATCAATGTACTATTTCGACAAAAATTAAGCACAAATTTTGTCGCAGGTGAGAAGCTTTGAATTCCAGAACAGATATTGTGGGCAGATCTTCACAAAGGGGAGATAGTCACACTGTATGAAGCGTGTGCAGTCGCCGGGATATGGTATTAGTTGTCCAAGTTTCATTTCACATTCGACTGATAGATTGCCGGATGTGTTCTTAGAACAACCTGCGCGTGACTGTGTGTCACATCGCTGCAGCAGAGCGTTCCAGTGAAGGTTCGCAGGACAGCTTAAAACGCCCGTCTCGTAAAACTGACTGCAGTCGCTGGGATAGGGCTCTCTAACCGTATCCTGTGCTTGAAGCAACATAGAACTCAACAAGATCAGAGTTCCTACAAGCAAAAATTGTATAACCACTGACATGGTTTGTTAAAAGTGTAGAGAACTGGTTTTTAATTTCTGATGACTGAATGTACTTCGCAAAGAGATGTGGACAATACACTGCTTAACGTCTAAATGAACTGCTAATCAACTGCATTGGTATTTATATAGATTTACATGCGACAACAATCTATCATATATATTGACATATCACAGTGATAAATTCTCAGCATTGTATGTACAATAAATCTTATTATTAGCTTTAGCAAGAGGGAACATTTCCGACCTCATAAAGCTTTAAAGTAGGTACATATTCTGATGGGACTACTGGCTACGACTATATCAAGTATACATATATATTCTTGATCAGCTTAATATAAAACTCAGATCGAATCACTTTCACTTGCATGAGTTCATGGGCCTTGGAATGATAAAATTGTCCGGTTAAGTGGGCCTTGGAATGATAAAATTGTCCGGTTAAGTCGATTGTTGCGTACATATTAAACAATAAACAGATTACTTCTCTTGGTAAGAGAATACAAAAATGTCAAGAAATACTTTAAGATTAAAGTCCATCTTAAGGAAAGTCCCGTCTGAAATTGGTTGCATAGTGCTATCTGTTTGATTTTCAAGAGTGATTCTCTAGAAATTTTCCCATAATACAAACTCTCGTCAATAAAGAAGGCAATGCAATCAATACGATTGAAGTACTTGCCCTTGATGAGGTGACAGGAGTTTTGTATAAAAGACGGTACAAACCTAAAGGTGGTCATCATACCATTATTGAGCCATCTCTGGAGGAAATCAAAAGTAAGACTGTCTGTAAAATATTCACATTACAAATAATACACATCTTCCTTCCTGTCTTATAAAAGTGATGCGTCGTTCTGTCTGTGCTTGGGTGGTCTTGGCAGCATTGCTTGCCGCTGTTGGAGGTGAGGCATATAATGACGTGGTAAGTAGCCCCAATGAGCATCTCCATTCCATGTAAAATCTTTGTACTGCGCAGGCCATCAATGCTGACATGTCTATTGGGATGGGACAATGCCCACCCTACGATGATCCCGGCCGCGTTGTGTTACTGCCATTCCACAATGACTGCAGCAAGTACATTACCTGCCTCCAAGGCAATCCCTACGTACAGCAGTGTCCGGACAACTTATTCTGGAGCCAGCGAAACTACCGTTGCGTTAACCGAGAGTACTCCGAGTGCCGTAGCACAGACACAGAGGATTTTGTTGAATACAGCGCATATCCTGGGGACTGTAGTCGCTTCTACGAGAAACGGGCCCTTCGCTGTGCCAACAACTATCTATTCAACCCGCAAAATCAACGCTGCGAGCCTTATCAGTACGTCAGCTGCAAGTCTGTGCCACCATGGAACAGCGTGCCACCCACCGATCCCAACTATCCCATGATCCCATCTACAGTGCCTCCTGCTGCCACTCCTCCGTCAATGATCTGGCCTACACCAGCCCCGGATAACAATGCCCCGCTTGATGCTCAGTCGCTGTGCAAGAATAGCATCCCGAATTCATATATTCCGTTTCCCGGAGACTGTCACAAGTTTATCCACTGTGGCCCAACGGCCACTGTGTTGAATTGCCCTGCTGACTTGTTCTGGAACACTGGTGTGCTCTCTTGCACTGCCTCCAGCAGTGGATGCCAGCTACTCCACTAAAAGACGATGTTTACTTTGCGGTATTCTCCACTTAAACCCGATGTTAACCTCACGGGATAAGGAAAACCGTTTTATTTTGCACATTCAATTAATGCACATTTAATATTTCATCAATATACTACCAAAAGAACATTGCGATCGCCTCAAGGGACTCCCGGATCAAGGTATTTGGGTTTTTGTTCATATTAGACAAGAAAACCAAATTATTGGGGTTGCAACAGGCCAGCCGGGGTTCCATGCAGGCTAGATCGGTTGGACTGAACTCTTCTCCATCTGCACACGCATAGCCCACAGGAATGGGGTCTTGACAAACTATGTACTTGCTGCAATTACCGGGATAAGGGACTAGTGAGCCTCCGGCTTGATAAGCGCAAAAGCTATCCGGAGCTGGAGTCCCATCAGTTGTGGGGGAAAAAGGAAGCGGTGTTGTTGTAGCTGGGATTGTACAATTTGCAACCCACGGCGCCATGCATCGTTCGAGGAATGCACTGAACTCTTGGCCGTCTGCACAGTCGTAGACGATGGGTAAAGGTCGGACACATTTTATGAACTTACTGCAGTCGGAGGGATAGGGAACAAGTTTACCGTCAGGCATGCCCTCGCAGGGATCTATAGCTTCTGTAGTTGGAGTACTTGGTGTACTGAGAGTCGTTGGATCGTCCGTTGTTCCTAGACGTGAAGTGGTTGAGTCGTAGTCCCATCGACAGGCCTCGGGGGATACATCGGAACCACACTGCCCTGTTAATGGGTCGAAAAACTCCCCACTTCCACACACACCCATCATATACAGGACATCGTCCACGCACCGAAGAAACCACTGGCAATTATCTGGAAACGGCACGGTGTTGCCCGCATTGTTGAGGCAGACCGTTGGACTTGGGGTTGGTGTGGTATAGCTCGGCGATAAAGTTGTCGTCTCTCCTTTTGGACAGTCACTTAGCTCAAAATCAACGCATTTCTGCAGTGCCTCATTGAAGTAGTATCCTTCCATGCAGTAAAAGGCAATAGGCACCGGGCTCACACATACTATGTATTTTCTGCAATCTTCGGGATAGGAAGCGTAATGACCCTCGCTCTGTCCTGAGCAGATTTCCGAATCAATTGGCAGACTAGTCGTCGTGTCGGGAGTTTGAATGGTGGTAAAACTGGTAGACCATGTGGTGGAAGGAGTGGTCGATTGACTGGCAGTTGATCCAGTAGCGATTCCGTTTTCCGTGCAGGCTGTAGGTGCAACGTCAGGGCCGCAATTGCCTGTTTGAGGATCATACCACGCGTTATAAATGCAATTGGCTATGCTGTAGCTCCCATCTCCCATGCATAGGATATACTGTTGGCAGTTCGTTACTAGTGGGTAGGAGAAGCCCAGATTCTGATCGGCGCAGAGATCGTCCAAGTTTTGGGTAGTTTGAACGGTTGGGCTTGTGGTAAATGTGTCGCGGCACGCTGTGGGCGATACATTTGGTCCGCAATCGCCAGTCTTCGGATCGAACCAAGCATTCACTGGACACTTAGCGGTCGTCCATTGATCATTGCCCATGCAAAGAACGTACTGTTGGCAGTCCGATTCCAATGGGAATGCGACGCCCAGCACCTGGTCAGCACATAGGTAGTCCTTATAGTCTGCGGTTGACCGAGGAATGGTGATGGGACCTGTAGACGTTGTCACTTCGCGGCATGCTTCTGATGAGACTTCCGGACCACAATGCCCGCTATACGGGTTGTACCAATTGTCATTGGGGCAGGGAAGGATTGTGAATGAGTTGTTGCCAAAGCAATAGTAATACTGCTGGCAGTTTTTTAGGTACGGAAAGCAAGTTCCCAGCGCCTGACCGATGCACTCGTTGAAAAGCCCCTGCGTAGTCATTGTTGCTTCTGGCACTACCTGGGTTGAATGGTCACCGTAGCACCAGACTTCATTTGGATAGTCACAGATGCGGAGGTCTGGATTAAACAGCAACTGGCCGGGGCACTGGTCCACTTCACTGTGCTCGTCCACACACACGATGAACTCGTTGCAGGCACTATCGGACGGAAGTAGAGTGTGGTTTGGTTGACCAACGCAAGGATCAACTTGAGGCGCTGGGTAAGGCGAAGCCGTGCAATCAACGGCTTCCGGTGTATCGCAGATACGAAGAAAATTATTAAAAAGTTTTCCGGGTGGGCAATTCTCCAATTCTGCACACGATTCGGTACACGAAATATAGGCACTGCAGTCGTAGGGATACTTATAGTTTCCGGCAGGCAACGACACGCAAAAGGCAGAGTCCACTTCTAGAGGGGATCGGCAGTCGTTCATCGCGCTACCAGAAGTTCGGTATGAAGACGGGGTGCCATCGCAGACAGCTACCAAAAAGTAAGCGATGAACGTAAAAAATTTACAGTCTAACACTGAAACGAGAAGAAAATATATAAAATTATCAATATTAGTTTGCAGTATGAAATCCAAATTAAATAGCTGAGATATAGGTCTTAACCCCTTTACCTTTCATTTTATAAATTTTGTATTTTCCGTCGAAGGATGCTTTGAATATCACTAGTAAATTTTAAAACTTATAATGCAGCACTTTAGATATAGAATAGCAATGAAGTCTGAAATGATTCTCGAAAATGTACCAGTGCTTATGATCCCACGGTTTGAAAATTACTGAACTGAATCATTCTGTTCACATTTTGGCAATTCTTAGGCATAAACAGATAGTCGCCTGCCAATCATATCAACAGTACGTCCGTTTTTCGATAATGACTAATTAAAGTTGATAATGGTTTATGGCAGCTCTGAGAAATGCGTATCTTGGTCAAGGAAATAGACAACAGGTTCTAAATATTTGGTAATTTCTGATGGCTACTATCTCTCTGCTCGTATTTCCATTCCTATACGCTAGATAGTAAAAAAAACAATTAACAAAGAATTGATGAGAGACAATATATGAAAGTTGTCTGAATAGGAAACATCCCTTCAGTAGAATAAAGGGGAAAGGGGACAAAACAAACTATTTTATCAGTAGAGATGCCTACTTTTAGGCCAACATCGATATTTATTTTAGAAATCTTTAACTTTTCTAGAAATCTGGATATTTTTCCATATTTCATTCAGAGGCTAGAGGTGCACCACAGAAACTTGAAGGTATGGTTCGTTTCGATTGAAATGCTCCTTCAAGAAGTGCATCTACTAAGCCTGAATGTTTGGACCAAGCAGCACGTCGTTTGACGGTTTGTTTCGTTTCCCTTGAAAGCAGTTAATCGACTGCATCTGAAGTTTTTGTCTTTTTTCTTCAAAATTGAAATGGGATCAATGGAATGCAAAACGAATTAACTTTTGAATTTAGACCTCACACTTTGTGTATTATTTATTTAGCTATGAACTACAAAAGGAGCGCCGAAATGTATCAACTACATCTTTTGAATCGGTACGGTCTACGTTTGTATGTAAATATGTTACGTATGTACATATGTACATACATATGTGCATAAGAGTGGGTATGTTTTTATCAGAAATTACATGTGTTTTTTATGAAGCTCCTTATCAATTCTTAGTAAAGAAATAAACGAGTAGATAGCGAATGAGTACTTGAGCTTTTATCAGATTTCTTTGATATTATCATATGGAGAACATTTTACATATTGGCACTGCATGCAAATTTTCATTGAATGCTGGTGTATAAAAACGATGTTCCATGAATGGAAAAGTTCAGTTCGATAGCGAAACGCAATATGAAGCTTCTAGGAGTGCTGTGGACACTTTGCCTTCTATACAAAACTTCACTGGCTCGAATACAAGTGGGTACAAGTGGCGCCGAATGCCATGAATGAATAAATATGATTAAAGAACTAACTAAATACAATGATTTCAAAGGACGGCTTCTCGTTTAAGACCTCCATATGTGATGGTAAGAATGGGGGTCTTTTACCCATGTATGGAACGTGTAGGGGATACTATGTGTGTCTTGATGGGAACGCTGTGATCGGATCCTGCGACGGAAGCACATTGTTTAATCCCAAGACTTTACATTGCGATGATGCCGTAGACGTAGACTGCATATTCGAGGCCAAGCCAAATAATTACAACGATGGATCGAACTCGGAGAGTGGGGAGGATGAGGAGCCTCAGGAATTTGATTCCCCACCCACGCGGAGACCGTTAAAGCAGCAGAGACCTGTGGCAAAACAACTTTTGGATACATTTAACAGAGTGTGCGCCGGTAAGAAAGATGGTGTGACTCTGGCAAAAGAAGGCTCTTGCAGTGAGTACATTGTCTGCGAGTCGAAGCAGCCGCATCTTCGCGTTTGTCCTACCAATCAGCATTTTAGTCCCACTCGCCGGATCTGTATGAAGCCGAAAGATGCCAAGTGTCTTGTGGGCCATGAAAATCATCAACTAGAAGAGCCAGCCACATCCGCCGGGGTCTGCCCTGAAGAAAAAGAGAACTCTTTGGTTGCTCACCAGAAAGATTGTGGAAAGTTTTTACTTTGCAGCAACATGATGTTCCTGGTAATGGATTGTCCCATTGGTTTGCATTTCAATTCCAAAACGTCGCGTTGCGACTATCCCAAGATCGCGAACTGTCAAGTGAAGGAAAAAGGAAATAAAGCTGCTTCAAAGACAAAAACTTCAGCACGTAAACCTAAAAATCGTCGCTTGTAACAATTGCATGCAAATAAAAAAATGTGGTACATACATACATATATGTATATAATCATATATATAATACTATAAGTATCACCTATTTCTGTATCCTCAAATCTTACCCGTAGATTAAGCTAAAGCTTGTTAATTATAAGAAGCAAGAGCAAAGTAAATATAAAATAGAAACACAAAAAATGTATATGGACTGAAATCCCTGTTTGAAAAACTCCGAAAATGCACTAGCTAAAGTTCTAGTACCGCAGGCATAGAGTCACTATTTTCAAAATATATCTCAGCTTAATGAAAAAAGCTAAATCTTGAGCATCGGCTTGTGGTAATCCGTTCTGTAAGGAACCCACAGTATCAGGTGAAATGCGCTGTTCAAAATATATGTTTATTGAAGTAATTAGAATTTCACATTTTCGGGCCAATCGCAGACCTTGAGCTGCGGATTATATAGCAATCCAGCGTTGCAGTTAAAGTCCACTTCACACTCACACTGGCAGACCACATAGGCGCTACTATACGTCGTGCTGGCATCGCCGAACATGGTTCCATCAGGCTGGCCAACACAACGACCATGGCTCTCGCAGTAGGTGCCAGATGGTCCGGCATTAGGACCGCTGGGTGGCGCAGAACCGTCATCACATTTCACATTCTCAGGGAAGTCACAGTCAAGCGTGGATGGATTGAACTGCAGGTTATTCGGACACCTTTGTTCAAATTTGATGCCATAGACACATTGGATGAAGGCAGAACAATTCTTATCTACAGGCCCTATCCAATTGTTGGATTTATCGCAGCACTCTGGGTCGCAGACTTTGCTGATGCAAACGCCTTCGGTGTCCAGAACACACTTATTCTCTGTCACATTGAAGTAGTTCAAGTCTGGACACTTTCTAGCAACCAAGCTTCCATGGATACACTCCAAATATCCAGCGCAGTCTGCGGGATTCACCTCCTGTTGTCCCTCTGTACATGTGCTGTTTCCATTGCACTCTCCATTGTCCTTTTCGCATTCGCCTTTAAGCGCGTTCCAGTAATCTCCGGTGCCACATGATTTGGATACATACTTTCCACTTGAGCAGACTTCATACTTTGTACAGTCTCCATCTGAGTCCGCCTTAGTGCTTCCTTCCACACATCCAACGCACACTCCAGAGGTGTCCTCAACACACTTATTAAGTGTGGTATTGAAGTAATACTGATCGGGACACTTCTTGATCACAAAGATTCCGTTCTCACACTCAAGATATCCTGCGCAGTCTGAGGGGTTCTCTTCCAATTCACCTTCGGTACACGTCGGGGTCTCGCAGGAGTTGCACTCGCCGAAGTCTTTTTCACACTCGCCGGTTCGCCAGTTCCACCAGTCCCCACTATCACAAGACTTCTGAACGAACTTGCCGGTGCAGCAGGCATAATACTTGGTGCAATCATCCTCGTCGATCTTTTTATCGCCGTCTTTGCAACATTCTGCATTCAGTGAGCCAACGAGAATAGAAACCGTAAGGCACAGAGAAAAGGCTGCAATCAAAGAATTATAAGAAAGCCTTTCTCTATCAGTGGGAGCGAACTTACCAAAGTGTATATGTTTTGATTGAGACATCTTTTCGCCACGCATATTGAGCGTCTACTGAAGAGCCATCGGTCCATATCGTCTTTTATATTTTCGGGCAATTAAAATAATTAAATGTCTTTTCCTGGCACAGAGAGATGATAATGTGGGAACACTCTTGATATTATCAGCGTATTCAGTATTCATACAAGCAGAGGATGTTGTCACTATTTATAAAACAGTCAGTCACGTTTCCCAATTAAGAAATGCAGGGGGAGGTGCCAGAAATCGAGTTGCGCTTGAGCAAATTTGTATGTCAGATCTCATTGTAGATTTCATGATAAAACGCTATAAATTTGTATTGTATTTTCTATTTACGAATTGAAATATTTTGTGATCTGTTTCTATGATTCTAACGTATCTTATGAATTATTTAATTTGAAATATTTTCTGGCTTTTTCTGCATGCAAAGGGCTCTCTTCATTTAGTTTACTTCCAATATCTTTATCTACTTTTCTGGATCAATTTGGACAGCCGATAGTGCAAGATTTTGTGGATATATTAGTTTTGTGGTGAATGTGGATGTGTGATACACCCACATCTTGTCTTGTCTTGTTTGATTCGAACTAAAGCAACCAAAATTTGTTCACAGCCATCCCCAAATATGATAATCCCATCCCCTCATGATAAAAGCGAGCAGAACTAAGAGAGGTCGCGGCCTGCGTTGGCTGACCTACCGTACTCCCCCACCGCATTCGCTGACAAATCAGTCCGTCCTTTTGCTAACGGCGATTACAATACATACATAGATTGATAGAGAGAGAGAGAATGGGGTAACCTTAAGTATGAAGACCGTATAAAATATTGTCAAATCGTTCAGAGGGTGTACACTGAATACTCGTAAAGCACATCAACGTTCACGGTCTGTTCTACTATTCTTATATCTATCTATAAATATACCTCTTCTTGTTGGTTTGCCTGAAAATGTACACGTCCAAATAGGCCAGACATTCGTCTGGATGTATCAAGTTTTTCTGCCAAACCTACCCACAAAGGCTGCCGATTAGGCGATAAAATGCACAATATGATTTATATCATACATATTCCCACTTTCGTCTAGCTTATCGAAAAGAATTGGGCCTCTCAAAGTACTGATAATACGCAGCTGCTGAAATGCGCCCTGTCTAAGACTGATTAGAGTGATTTATGAGCGCAGACCACCATTACCTATCGTTTAAGTATCGGCGTGGAGAGGCCAACGATTTCTTGGCATACAAATTATATTTTTTATTGAAAAACTTTAAGCTATAGAGTACAATTGACGTTTATGCTGTAGTTGCAAGTCAATAGGTCCTGGTCCCAGTACAAGCCATCGGGACACGTCAACTCGACCTCGCACTCGCATTGGCAGATGACATATCCATTGCAACTAATCTCGGATGGTAAATAGGTACCCTCCCGTGCATTCAGGCAGCGTCCGTTGGTCTCGCAAGCGATGCCCGAGGGTCCGGCGTTCGGTCCTGAGGGCGGCGTATGAGGCCATTGACACTGCACGTTTTGGGGATAGTCGCAGATCTCAGTCTCTACGTTGAAGATCAAGTTGTTTGGGCACTGCTGTTCAACGGCACAGTTGTAGTTGCACTTATAGAACTTGTTGCACACTCCATCGACCGGGAACAGGGCTCCTTCCTCCTCGCCCTGGCACACGTTGCTGGTGCTGTTGCAGGCGACTTCTGGAACATAGCCTTCGGGATAATCGCACTCATTCGCGGTGGCATTGTAGACCAGACCGTCGGGACAGATAACCGCAGTAGATTCGGCGCTCGTGTCCCAATCGCAGACCTGAGCAGTCTGATTGAACTTGGTGTACTCGTCGCAAGGCATTGCGATGGGGCATTGGCATTGACACACAAAGTATCCATTAGTTTCGGGATCGGCGATCAGCGTGCCGTCACGCATGCCCGCACAGACGCCCTGGCTTGTACACGTCGTGCCCGAGGGTCCCTCTATATCTTCTGAGGAGTCTGCGATGACCGATGGTGTGCAATTAACGTTCTCCGGGAAGTCACAGTATTCGCTTATGGGGTTAAAGTAGAGGCCGGAGGGACAGCTCATCTCATTGACGCATCTATTACTGCACTGAATGTACCTTCCGCACACTCCGGGAATTGGCAGATTGACGTTGGTAGTCTGGTTGGCACATTCATCGCGCTGGCTGGAGCAATAGGTGGGCACAGCAGATGGAGGGGAAGGCGTGGTGTTGACGACATTGTTCGTGTCGGTTGTGAGCTCATCGGTTGTGGTCTCATCGGAGACACCATCCGTGGACTTATCGGGTTCTGTGGGGTTCGTAGAGCTTGTGACGGCGGGTTCTGAGCTTGACGGCTCCGTGTCCGTGTCGCAAGGCTCTGTTACCGACGTGGTTAAACCTGGCTTATCGTCGTCAATATCCGGACACTCATCGGCGCAACAGGTGCAGGTGCATTCGGCATCTGCCCTGGTATTAGTGCCTGCAAATGGCGACAGGCCCAAGCAGTTGGCTCGCCACTGGAAATCGCACTCGGCCAGTTGTCGATTGAAGTGGAGCCCGCGGGGACAGCTGCCGATGGCAACCACTTCTCCCTGCTGGCATACCGCAAAGCGACCGCAATGGGTCGCCACAGGCACTCGCGTCCCGTCCGGTTCATAGAGGCAAACACTCGACAGTTGAGCAGATGCGGCTGCGACCACTAGAAGCGTCCATAGAGCTGATACCAACAACAGAGACGTTACGCGTACATAGTAAAAGTTTCAGAATTGGCACCTACTAGTCACTCACCACACAAAACAGTGTTGCACATTTTCAAGACGATCAGCAGCTTTGAAGTAGTCCGAAATTCGCGAACGACTAAGTGGCGACCCTGCCAAAGTGGAGGCATTTATGGGAGCGAAAGAAAACTGTTTCGAGTGCCGCGAATCAGTAGCCAATCTTCTGATAATACCAATAACCATATTTATCGCTTGATTAACTCAACAAGTGATTTTTGGTGCTACGCGCTATCGCAGGAGTAATTACGTTCATATCTGGAGCACGGAGGGCGGAGCGCAAACTACTCTCCCGGAGGGGGCTCATTAACAAATTCATACGCACACTGTCGTACTATTGACACTTCCTATTAAATGGCGTTTATTGTCATTCAAAATGAAGTGCCTGAACCGTGTACTGCTCTCCCGGATACAATCACGACAAGTAGCAATACAGCAATTGTAGGTGCTCGAATGAAAGATACTCAGCTCCAATGATACTTTATACTCGGATATGGTTATCAGTATGTTGTTTGAAACTTATCGACTGACTGAAGGAAATGCTCCGCGTCTTCTGCACGCAGCATTCATTGTCTCACTCTCTGTGGCTATGTAGGCCAGCTTAGGTGGCCAGCTTTTAAACTATTTTGCTGTAAGTTATATGGCACTCTGTTTACACTCTGACTAGACACGTCAAGACTGTCTAATGATGTCGGAAACTTAAAGTTGCAGTCCTTCCCAGTCCTTTGTTTAAGTTTTTATAGTTAATACTGAATGATTAGGTCAAACAATTATAATAAAAGCCTTTCTTATCGTTCACAGTACTTTTTCTCGATAATCAATCAAATATCTGTAGATAAGTTTCGCATCAGTATATTGTAATAGGTAAGATCGATTGTTTGTCTATATGGACCGATTTATAGCAATAATATACCCTGGTTCTGAGTGTTCCATTCCGTACAAAATTTAAATTTTGGTCAGTTTTATATAGTGCATGAAATGCATGGCAGGGGCACGGTGGTCGCCTTTGGTTAGGCGATCGCCGATTGTTAACTCAGTTTATTCAATCGATTCGCTATCATTCATTCAGTTTTTCATTAACGTCTTGTAGGCGGATACGCTTGAAGGGTGTGCGGGCTTTGGCGTTGCGATAATGAAGACTTTTTATAGAAGCTATCGAACATTAAACGCATGTTTTTACACCCAGTAATTGTATTCAACAATGATATGTTGTATTCGTACAAAGGTATGTGAGAAGCGTTAGAAATACATTTTTTCTTGATTGCCTGTAAGAACACTTGGATCTATCGGATGTTCAAATCTTGAGAACCCCAACCTTATTAGACCTAAGATTACTGGGTATATTTTAGTCAGAATGTGGACTGGAGCCTATAATTCTAGGTACTGAATGCAATCACAGCGATAAAAATATCTCAATAGAAATATGATTAGATGGCATTCCCTCAAGACCATGCTGTTCGGATGCATTCCTTGCGTAAGCGCGATTGTTCATTTTATTACTGATTTTTCTGAACCCTAGTGCCAAAAAAGCTGGACAGGAAACTGTAAGGGAAATTGTTAGTTTTCTCAGGATTTTAATAGTACTGCTTACTGTATGGACAGAACCAAAAACAAGTCTATGAAATTGCGGTGAGAGGCTGGCTTCCTGTTTCGCGGCGAGTTAGAGGGGGCCGTCAGCTGAAATTGGAGACAATGCAATTCTAATTATTCAAATGAAAGCCAAGTACGCTTGAATTAAATTACCAAACTTAAGAAAACATAAATGGCAGAAGGAAGAGCACCAGTTGCAGTTGTGTGCTAGGGCCTAGACACTTGGGTTACTTGGGGCCGTGGAAAGCCAACGACAGGCTTATACTCGAACTCGAAGGTAGGTGTCCATTACATGTAGCGCATCGAGCTGGAGAGGGCTGTTGCTATTGCTTCTGCTGTTCGTCAAATGCCATAAGGGGCAACAAAAGACAGCCCAGCAGAAATGTGAGTGGATCTGCGACATCTACATAGAGTGCTCGCAGAAGTGAGTGTGCATGGGGGACACACTCACACTGGCAGCCGGACCACTTCCAACGTCTATTGTGGAAATCTTCTCAGGTGTAACAGGTTTCTCAGATTTAAACTGAGGTCGCCCCTGTCGTTCACACAGTCATCAGCGGCACTCGCCACGGAATCGATCGTGATCTCGGGCCCGACCGATCAAAGACTGCGCTTCCAGTCAACGCCGGCAGGAGACCAGGAGCAGCCGAGCAGCAGGACACTTCTTACAATTACAGTTCGAATCGAAGAACTGAGATCGATTGGTGCATAGATATCAAGAGGACTCGCTAATTTTCAACTCTAGCACCATTCGAAATCAGTGCTTTTGATGAGAACCATTCAACAGAAAGTGTTTCTCCAAAGTGATTTTTTTTCAGTGCATGACAATTCATGTTAAAATCCAAAGGTTTCCATACAAAAAGTTTAAATAACGCACAAGAGAGTATAAGTAATGAGTGGCTGAGCAACCGCGTTCATGGCAGAAGCCATCGAAGTGCAAGCGACGTGTCTCAATCTCACCGGGTCGGTGGTCGTCGATGTCGATCGGAATATGTTATCCACATTTGCTTAGTCATCAGTCATTGGAAATAAGTTGGATATCGCTGCAGTTACCCTTGATTCTATGGCTAAAACGGTTTACCGCGTTGATCAATGACTAAATGTGCCATCCAGAAATTGCAATCGAAACTCCACCAGCCTCGGAAAACTCCACCTCAATGTTTGCTTGTCTTGTCAAAACAATAGATTGTCCACGACTTATCAGGGCTATAAATAAAAGACATGATATACAGTGAATTAGTCGCTTAGTAATTTAAAAATAATCGTATTCTTATCTTAGTAAAGGCTCCATTTTCGGAGCTATAAATATGCTCAGAGCTGGTTGTGTATGATTCACGGGAAGGATGATATACAATACTAGTACATACTCGTATATGGTGCTAGAATTACAAAAATATGTCTAGAATTTGCAAAACGAAGACAAATATACCCTTTCCACAACGTTTACCCTGGCTGTATGGACGTGATACATTCATAAATTTATTTTATTCCCATTTCAATGCTAGTACACAGAAGGAGTTGAAGCCAACTCCGCAATTGTAGCACTGCCATAAATAATATATTCACATATTATTGGCCAGTGATTTATTCGTGGTACACGAATTAGTAAGTAGTATAGCGCACAATATGCATAGGGAGTACGAAAAAATTATTCTGGGCGAATGTACGTCAACGTTTCTGCCTATTTGAATGAGTAGTTACATACGTCAAAAAACCCTATAAATATGTCAAACAATTAATATTACAGGATTTTTAGATAAAATAATAATATCTTTTAGAAAGTCCCATGAACAATTATTGTCAAAACGAAATGGGATTATTTAGATAAGGCAATAGGATTCCCCATTTTTTGATGGCAGCTTTCCATTCTTATGCTTCTATTAATTATAGGCAAGTGGCATTAATAATAAAGCGTGGGAGCAGGAACACCTGGAAATATAAGCTGGGAAGGAAGGGCCACTACAATAGTTTATAAATTAAATATGTCAAATTTTCTCTAATATTGGGAATTTTCATTATCACTAGCCTTGTACATCATAATTGCTGAAATTAAAACTTTCGTGTTCTGAAAAGTTGAATCTTCTTATCTAAAGTATTTTGTGACAGATTGTAGCCGTATAGTTACCAAAAAAAAAATACAGCTGAAAAAATTGCTAATTTTGTTTATGTCAGCGGCCATCGAGTCAAAACGGCAAATCTTATCTATTTTAAAAGACAAAATGTTTGTAAATTATAGCCCCGTTTAATTGGAAAATCTGCGACTTATCATTTGCCAAAGACAACCAAGCAGTTTGGAGTGTGGTGCCTATATAAGGCCCAGTAGAAGAACCAAAGAAAGTTAGTTGAAATTATTCTACTTGGAGGGACGAAGAGTGTATCTCGAAATGCGAGGTACTGGCGATTGGCATTGGAGCTCAGAGCGTGGATACTCGTACTGACAGTTAATTTCGTCTACCATTCCAGGATTGACAAGCTATCTGCATGCCCTGCTGCTGGCTCTCGTACTGCAGCTGAGCAGCCAGACCCAGCTCCTGAACTCTGGCGACGATGTCTGCCGACTGTTTGCGGATGGCACTAAGCTCCGCAAGCCGGGCGGCTGTAATGAGTGGATTTTGTGTCAGAACCATATCAGCACGACTGGTGGAACTTGTAGCGGGACCAAACCATACTTCAAACTTAAGAGTAGCGACTGCGCGAGTGCCGCGGACACCAAATACTGCGACAGTCCATGCACTAAGAAAACAAACGGTTACTTGGGCAGCACCCTCAACTGTGCCAATTGGTACTACTGCGAGGGGGCTACCTTGAAAGGCAGCGGGGTCTGCACCGGCCAGTACTTCGACCAGGCGCTGCAGCAGTGCGTTTATGCGGAGAATACTTCGTGCGCCGCCAAATTTGAGTGGTGCGACATCGTGCCCCCAAACGTGCCATTCCTCGACGAGGAACACTGCAACATGTTCCACACATGCAGCAGTACTTTTTCACTTGTCAACAACACCTGCGATGAGGGAAAGTATTACGATGTGCAAAAGAAGGTATGTGTGGACAAGAGAGAGGTCGATTGTGGCGAGCATCCCCTGCCAGTGGACGTGTGTGGAACCAACAAGCTGGCTGTGCGCAACAAATTTGTTTCGGATGGTGCCACCTGCCGAGGATACTTCTACTGCCGGGATCTCGGCTCTGGAAATCCTGATCCCAACCCCGAGCGGCTGCAGTGCGGAGTGGATTATTTCTTCAACCAGGAGCGACAGGCTTGCATGCCACGCGAAGACCAGAAGTGTGACTGGGATCGCTGTGACGGGCGCGAGAGTGGCTTCGAGTTGGCCCAGGTGGAGGGTTGCCATAACTACCTATCATGCACAAATGGCAAAGAAATGAATGTATTGGTGTGTGAAGATGGCGGGTACTTCGATGTGGCAGCCCAGAAGTGTACTACAGCCATTAAAAGCTACGGTGTATGCACCAGTTAGATATTGTGATATCAAATAAACCTATGCTGGAGTACTAATTCTCTTCTTCCCGTCAACTACGTGTGGACCACTGGGAATGCTAATTAGAATTTAATATTCTATTTTTCCATCTAAATAAGATAAATAAAGTAACAATGTTTTTGGGGAGAGAACATTTTAGATTTTAATTCTTGATCATTCTTGAGGTGTTACCTGAGTAGCTAAGAACAGTAGACAGAAGACGAGGACCTGATACATGTTATTCACTTTTACAACTACAACTTACAACATTTACAACCCTAGGAGCTCTACATCGACTAAAAGAATTCAAGTCTTATATTGTCCATATGGAGCAGGCGAAGCAGGAAGAACCACTATCCACTACAGAATCTATAGCCACCTGGAATTAAGTATACATAAATTATGAATAGTTTAATTAATTATAAAATAAACAAATATTTAATATTTGTTCTCACATTTATTTATTGCATTGTATTGATTAGAGGTTTCTGTGTCACTACCTGTAGACCGTAAAAGCTCTATTGAGCTTTCCAACTTTTTTATTGAAGTTCTGTTAAAGCGATGCTAAGTTTTATAAGGTTTGTGTATTGGATGAAAGCGAATCCTTATAAAAGATATCGTTGATTTTTGTGATGACCTTTTTAAAAGGCTACAAAAAATTATTAACATATTTAAGAACATTTTATTTGTGGTGCGGATATAGTCATTCTTTATGATTTTGCGTCTTAAATTAGAAGTGTTAAGAATATGTTGCGGAATAGAATAAAGTTGCGAGCTTGGGGGCTTCACATATATTGGGAATAATATAATTGGCATTCAGGTTCCATTTATGGCCGCATTCTAGTGGCGCCATTTATCAGGCACTTTAACATTTTACAGCACTTATGTATCGACATTATCCAACAGTGCGTACCTGAACCTGAACTTAGAACTTGTATGATATACTTTCTTGTTCCAAAAAATTTCAATCAAATTTGGAAGGGTATCCAGTAGCTGCGGCTTTGTTTGTTGGTATATTTTAATATTCATAGTGCTACAAGATTATACTTTATAATAAATGTCCTAGTCACTACAAAATTGATTACCAAGGAAATTATATTTTTCAATGGTGTCTTCTTTGTTTGAATTTGCCTCAAGGTTTGTCTAGCATTGTCAGTCCTTACTGTATGTTTCTCCATCAGTTTTTTTTTGTTTCTGTTTTTTATAAGTCATAGCTTCTCTAATGCTAATTAAATTTTTATTTAATTTTTTCTAATTAGCTAATTAAACAGGAAATAACACGCTTTAACGATTAATCGAAAAATTCATCCCTGAGAGCTGGTTCTCACTCTTTTGAACTTCTGAGTTCCGTGCACGTTAGAGTGATTCGGCACTTTAGGAGGCTTGGATTTTTTTGCTTGCTATTTATTGTATTACAAATTGAGAGGAGGGCAGAATTTTTGAAATGGCACAGGCGCCAGAAACTAAAAGTGAAAATGCACCAACCGCAAGTTCGGTCATGCAGGGCGAGCGCACTAAGGCCCTGGTTAACTACCGCCGTAAGCTGATGGGGCACCGCCAGACTGAGGCTCGCTTGAAGGGACTTCGTGACAAGCAAAAGGTGCTGAAGGTCGAATACGAGAAGTCGGAGGGTGACCTGGAGGCACTGCAGAGCGTTGGCCAGATGCTGGCAGATGTTATCCAGCAGTTGACTCCGGACACCTTCATTGTCAAGTCGTCGAACGGGCCGCGCTACATCGTCGGGTGCAGACGTCAGATCAACAAATCGCACTTAAGGGCTGGCACACGGGTCGCCCTGGATCTTACCACGCTGACCATCATGCGGTACTTGCCACGCGAGGTCGATCCTCTGGTGTACAACATGGTTCACGAGGATCCAGGCGACGTGAATTACAGCGAGATTGGTGGCCTGGGCGAGCAGATACGGCAGCTCCGCGAAGTAATCGAGCTGCCACTGCTGAACCCGGAGCTTTTTCTGCGCGTGGGTATCAACCCGCCGAAGGGCTGCCTGCTTTACGGGCCACCTGGAACAGGTAAGACCCTGATGGCACGTGCCATCGCCTCCCAGATGGACGCTAACTTCCTGAAGGTGGTTTCCTCGGCGATTGTCGACAAGTACATAGGGGAAAGTGCGCGCCTGATACGCGAGATGTTCTCCTATGCCCGCGACCATCAGCCGTGCATCATATTCATGGATGAAATCGACGCTATTGGAGGGCGCCGCTTCTCCGAGGGGTCCTCCGCCGATCGCGAAATCCAGCGCACTCTCATGGAGCTGCTCAACCAAATGGATGGCTTCGACTCGCTTGGCCAAGTGAAGATGATTATGGCCACGAATCGTCCGGATACTCTCGACCCGGCCCTTTTACGTCCAGGCCGCTTGGACCGCAAGCTTGAGATCCCTCTTCCCAATGAAGTGGCACGCATGGACATACTCAAGATACACGCAGGACCGCTCTCCAAGCAGGGCGTGATAGACTACGAGGCCATTGTAAAGCTCTCCGACACGTTCAACGGTGCCGACCTGCGCAACACATGCACTGAGGCTGGACTGTTTGCCCTTCGCGCCGAACGTGAGTTCATTCTGCAGGAGGACTTCATGAAGGCGGTGCGCAAAATTGCCGGCAACAAGAAGCTGGAATCAAAATTGGACTACAAGCCTATTTAAGGACAAAATTTGCAAAATTTTCACCACTCCTTGAATTCAAAATTATGTATAGATGAATTAAATATGTCTAATTACCACTAATGTGTAGAGATTTTCACTGTAATTTACTTTGTTGTTTTGTGGAATAGTCTGTTCTGTTAAATGAGATTCATTTTCTCTAGGAATATACATACAAATATGTATTGTGCTCTTCAGTATGGATGTCCTCTTAATCGATCAGACTCTATGGTCCGTTTTCCGTTTTAGCGCATCGAAATCAATTTTCCAATTTTCTTCTAATACATTTTTTATCCTGCTAACAAATGCCTACAAATTAGTCTTTCAATAAACTCATTCAAATGTCACTCGTAGAGCCACAGCTGTTAAGTTATATGATTCTAGTTCGGAAACATACAAATTGACCGTGGCCATGACAAATATGGAATGGTTTGGAAATATTTAATGAAAATTGGCCCCGCCATTGCTGTTCGCGTATGTAAGAGCAAGTATTACACCTCCAATTGTTGGGCCGCCACTCGCGACAATTTCCGCGAATTTTGCCAACGAATTAAGGAGTTGGGCAGTTTTCATTTCCCCATTTCTGTTGTATCAATTAATTTTATTTAAGTGCCAGCGAGTGCCAAATGATAATTTAGTTGACATATTCAATATCTAGTGAACTATCGCTTGATGTGAAATCAAGTCGCTTCCGCTGGTCACCGTCGAAGAACTTGAGTCCGGCAAAGTGTTCAATATCCCGGACGTCAGCCAGAAAAGAGCGGAGATCTGTTTCAGCGTCGACCTCGGCATTGGGCACCACATAGCCTTCCACGAAGGGCAAATCATCATTTTGCTTGTGCTCACTGATAATGACCTTAAAAAAGTGGGTGGGCACTGCGACTGTATTCATACCCATCACATGGTGACGGATGGCCCAGTTCCTGAAGGTGATGCGTTGTGGCATGAACATGGGACCGGTGTATACGTACACCGAGCCCGACTTGAGTGCCAGCTCGCGGACATAGTGCTCCAGACGCAACCAGACATTATTTTTAAGGGCCCGACTGATTGGAACTATGTTGGGGAATTTGTACGCCTCGGTGAACATTGCTATGTCGCACTTGTAGTTCTGAGGCGACGCCATGTGGCCCCCCACCCACTCGGAATTTCGAAAGTCGCGCATATTCGCACTGAACATGGTCGGAATACTAGCATCGGGTATGTATTCGTTGGGCTTTTCTAGGGTCTGTGGATCTCTGTAGGTCAGGCATTCGCCTTTCAGATGCTCACAGACCCAATGGGCGATGCGATTGCGTCTATCATACGAGACCACAAAGTTCTTATAGACATGTATCTCGTCCATTCCAGGAAAGCCGTACTTCATAATGCTGGCTACATGTGATATCTCCTTGTATTGAGGCTGTTCAGCTCCTATTGAAAAGGTCATGAACATGATCTGTATAGGTTCGAATTGGGAATTAAATTATTTCTGGACAGATGGTTTACAACTCTTAAAGCACTCACCACGTGGTTTACTTGGCTACGGCTCCAAAGAATGAATTGCTCAAACAGAGACATACTGCCAGTATCGGGTGATGATTCGATTTCCGACGATTCAGTTTCGCTCCCCGCGAAGGTACTCCCACTCATTGTGCTCACCGAATTCTGTGTTGGCTGTACTGCAGCTGGAGCTGGGGATGTTATCCCTAGAAACGATAGCTACAGATAGAATTAGAGATTTTTGCTTCAGCAATGGTTAGGTCAAATCAATCTTTCATTCATACCGATTTGAATATCTTACGGCGGCTCTGGTACACATACGCATCGCTGACCATCGTATTGTTTAGCTTTCGATATGATATGTCCTGCTGCGCAAGGGCTCCGATTAGAAAACCTACCGCGCCGGACACAGCAATCAACGGAAAAATAATATAGATTGGCATCTTTTGAATTTAATTCAATTTCGATTCAATTCCGAATTTAGGCACATCAAATGGTGATTCAACAAATAATTTTGCGTATGAAGGGCACTACATTTCCGTTGGACTTGGCAGTTTTATCTCCTTAATCCAACATCTGCTGGCACTAAATACATTGAAATATATAACAAAATCAAATAATATACATCAAATTATGTAAAGATGAATTTTTACTTTGACATTTTGATCAAAACAGTTGAAGCGAAGAAAAACTATTACTCGAGTGATGACAATTTCCGAAATTTTGAGATGGTAAAATATCATATATCGATAAACATCAAAAGCTTAGTATCGATTATTTGTGTGCAAGTTTTGCACGCAGTTTCAAAAAATAAATGGCAAAACATAGCTTCATATATATATCTCTCCATTATGTAAACCATTTTGGGTCGTCGTCCCATATATTACTTTGGGTAGTCTCCCGATATTTTATTATCGCCAAATAGTTTCTGCTCGAAATTTCGTCCATCGGAGGGAGCCGATGACTGGCGCATTCTCTCCCTCTCTCACTCCGTCTTTTCGCAAAAACAATGAATTGATTTGTTGGTTAATTCGGGGAGGGGCAATCTCTCCGCGATCTCTCTTCATTTTCTTCGCATTTGTCATGAGAGACGGGAAAAGCATAGAGAAAAAGAGAGGAACCGCGAGCTCTTGTTATGTTTTACTGTTAATTCTTGCATTCTGTGTATCATCTATCCAACTAATGACCTACATATTTGATTAGAATTTGAAAATATTTCATCTATTTCGATTTGTTTACTATTATTTTTTATTCCGCTACATCTCTCTCTCTCTCTCTTTTATCTCTCAAGCCAACAGAACCCGTTATATCTCGCTCCCCTCGGAAAGGGGAACGCACTGCACGATTAAGAGTGAGAGATAATGAGTAAGCGCGTGCAAGGGGCAGCGTAGCCACTGCATGCACTTGTAACAGTGTTACAGTATCACAGGAGTCTGAATACAAAAATGGGTTGCTCTATAGCTCTAGTTTCTATAGTCTCTGAGATCTAGGCGCTCATTAAGACGGACGGATAGACGGTCAGTAAGACATTGCTACATCGACTCGGCTATTGATACTGATCATATATGTATACATACATATGCATGTATGTACTTTATGGCTTCGGAGACCACATAACTAATATATCCCTAAACTCTTCCACTGCCGTGTATAAAATCCAGAACTAGCTATAAACTTGCTCCTAGCTCCCAAGTGAGAGTTGCTGAAGGAAAAACTAAGTAATTTATGGTAATTGCTTCTGCTCTCACTTTAACCCTGCGAAAGCCTCTATGGCTGAACTGAATGTCCTTAAAAATATAAATAATTTTGTCTTCTATTTATATTGTTACCATAACCCCGGCTCCAGTCCGGAGGCTGTCTAGTGGGTAAAATGAATCGACATCACGCGCTTAAACGAGTAAGGGTAAACCTTGAGGGAAGCCAAATCCCGAACAGGCAACCACTGCCTTAAAAGTATCTGGGTCGGGATTTTGTGAGGATGGGTCTGGGAGGAGGCACACAAAAAGCTGAAATATTAAGTTTTCGGAAAACGAAACTGGATTTCTATTCAATAAGTTTTCCAGCTGGCCTTCTGCAGGCTGCTGGTATGCGGTCGGGCCCAGCGCTGTCTCGGAAGCATGCTCTCGATTTTTGTTGCGGACACAACATGCGGCGCAGATTCGGCAGGCGCCTGCCGGTTAAGGCCAAACTTTGCCCCTCAGACAGACCGACTGAGCGACAGCAGATGCCAAGCTATCCTGGCAATGAAGTCCTTCGAATTTGCTCCAGTGGCTCCTGTGTCTCCACGAAAGAAATTAAACGCAGCGCTGCAACAGACGGTGAGGCTTATGGAATGGGGCAGCTTGTTGCAACTTTGCCTGGTGCGTGGTTTTCTGTTGTTTTCTGGATCTCTCTGTGTTAGAGATTGTCATCGGGTCAGATGTTCCTGGTAAAATTGCGGCCTGACTTTTGCTCAAAACTTGCATGCAGCGTCAAACGATGTACATTGAGGATTAGTATTAAAGATGGATGGTTTCTGATTTTATTTCGAGCAACACAGTAAGACAGCTCAATCTAAATGGCTCTGTGTTTTTTTAGCTTTTGGATTTTTCATAATCACATTGTTTTTGTAATTGGGAAATCTACCGATTTTCACTGAGGCAATTGGCACAAGATGTATGTACGAGTACTTATCGTTTGAATCCATTCGAAAAAGGGGTTTTAATGGTTTAAACTTGAGTTCTTGACGTTAATCCGAATTTGGTAATTACTCTGCCTATAATAATTATTTGCTGCTAAGTGAATTCAATTGCATTGTGTAATCCGCAGATTTGTATTTGTGTTTTATTTTATTGCATGTACTTTCATATTTCATATTTATTATGTTTGCACAGTTCGCATATTAAAATAAACACATGATTGCTTATTTGTGTTTAATTAAACAGACAGAAAAAAAACCTGCGGGAACGTTGTGAGCCGCGGCAAGTGCCGAGGCTCTACTTTATGATATGCCAGGTACTCAGTCAGTATAAAGTGAGCTTATGATTTATGTAATTTATACAATATATTGTATTTGGCGTTGTGTATCGGTATATTGGTATTGGTATATTCGCAAAAAGGGAAGAACTGATTTTTCTCCAACAAAAAATGTTTATAAGAATCGGTCGAGCTGTTTGATAGACTTTTATATATTCGATTTTATTCTCACACCCACACCAGCCGTTTGTTTCTGCTTCGCTCCACCAGAGGGCACACACTGCACGAGGAGAGTGTGTGTGAGAGTGAGAACAAGTAAATGCGTGGCTATGCTATCGTAGGCTACCAATGTAATATACCCTTATACTCTTCGAGTACCGGGTAGAAAAACCAAAATTTTTCTAGAGGGTGCACGTGTACTGGTCTGGGGGTATGATCGGGTTGAGGATTATAAATAACATTAATTGCACAGAGTAAATGCTTCCAGATTCCGCAGATGGGTCTGGGTGAGACCAACCAAAATATAAGTGAATAAAAAACAAATTCTCATATAATTCTGTCCCTATATTTTTTTCTAAATTGAAACTTAAAATTTGTACATTCAAGTTAAAATTTTTTATTGTCTTCTATAAGAAAGAAAGAGAGATGATTCATTATAAAAGTCTGAGCTTGTTGGGTTTCATTTATCTGAAGAATGTATTGCGTTCTTGCATTGTTTAACATGCCTCATAGTAATTATGTGGCTGGCATAGTATTTGCACATTGCCCGATCTGCATATAATGCAAATTTGAGGGCCAGCCTGCATTTCATTAACACGATTCGGGGGAATGCAGATGCAGCCAGCAGCAGAAATATAAGCAACATTCCACTCCACCTCCACTCATCCAGGTGGATGGCCGTACATCAAGATGAAGGATGAGCGCACTCCGGAGGATATATGTGGCACATGTGCAAGTGCTACACATGCTGCACACAGAAGTGTGGCCGTGCCTCCTAGTGCTAACTGGTGTCAGCCATGGGGATGCTGAGGTTAACAAAAATGGCAACGGCATCATTCTGGCGACTGCGAAATTGCCTTGGATGCTAAATGAATGCAGTTGAATATTTCACTGTCGCTCCGTCACCCCATCATCCCATCCACATCCGGCTCGAACTCTTCTCCGGAGAGCAGTAACATTAACATTAACATTAAAATCAACATTAACAGTGAAATATTCTGGAGAGGCTCAACAAGCGTTAACATTGCGACCCACTGCCTTAGTTCGGCGCAAATGTTACGGCAGGTCACTTACGTTCCACATTGGTATCCACACTCACTTTGGCATCCACAGCTGTTGCTTATGCTGTTATCCTTCTGTTAGCCTGTCGTCCTGCCGCTATAAAACACCAGACTGACTCCTGGCCGGGCTCATTCCGCTGATAGCCTCGTGAGGCAACGGTAACTGGTTTTGCGCGACCGCGAGCGACGCGCGGCATGTGAATGCGGAAAGGCGAATGCGAGATTCGGCGGAAACTGCGAATCTTTCCGGGCGCTGCGAGCCATGACTTCCGGGGAGTGGGACCTGCGGGCGCTGAAGGCGCTCGAGGAGGAGGAGCAGCGCGAGTTCCTGGCCCTCAGCCAGAGGAATCTGTTTGAGCCATCTGATGTCGGTGCCAGTGCCAGTGCCGGTGTCGGTGCCAGCGCCAAGCCAGCCCTGACCTACGCCCAGCTGCATCCACATCTGCTCAAGCTCCCCACCATCGACGAGTGTCAGCTGATTGCCGCCAAGCAGCAGTCCGGTGGACGACACGGTAGCCTGGCCGGACTACGCTTCACGCGCGCCCTCTCCCTCTCCGCGCACTCGCTGTCCCCAAGGGGCGGAGGCGGGGGCTTCGGCAAGAAACTGAGAGCACGCCTCGTTGGCGCCAAATCCAGCGGATCTCTATCGCCCTCGCGCCACTCCCACAGTTACAGTGTATCGCCAGTCTACACCCCGCCCCCCATGCGTCGCTGTGCCACGCTGCATCACACTCAGCCGGTACGGAAGACGTTCAAGAACCTGCAACAGCTGCAGGACCGCAAGCGGCAGGCCAACCAGAGCGCAACGCCTCCCCTGGCGTTGCCAGGCCAGCTGCAGCGGATTGCGGGCACGGGCAAGACCTACTGGAAGTACGGAGCCAACTCCACGGCCGCCTCCATAATCGGGCAGCGCACTCGACGCCAGCAACAGCACGGTACGGAGCCTCCTGTCGAGTCGAACGCCGCCTCGGATCTCGATCTCAATACGGAACAGCTGGAGTCGGATGTTCTTGACAGTGCCACAGAGACGGGCTCCTGCAGCGTGCCCCTGCCAGCGGCGGACTCCAACGAGATGCTTCGGCTGATGCTGAGCGCTGCGAGTTCGGCGGTAACAGTGACTCCCACGGCCGCAGCAGCAGCAGCAGCAACTGGTGGCCCAGCCCCAGTAGCAGCTCCGCTCAGGCGATACCAGCCTATCGGCGACGTTGAGGAGGAAACTGTTGCTTACGAAGCTTTCCACAAGCCCAAAAGCTTCGAGCGTGGCGCGCTTATACGCGGTGGCAGCCTAACAGTGGAAGAGAACAACAGCAACAGTCCCCGCAACAGCCCGGGCCGAGCAATGCAATCCACACTGGCAGGCGGACTGGTAGGCAGCCGTAGGATATTCAAGTCCGCCTCCCTCGACTGGCCGGGCGAACCCCAGACACACCCACAGGTACAGCAACAGATTAACGGCCTGACCACAAATCCGCTCGAGATTGTGGACCAGCAGACAATGGAGGCTCGTTACAAGCAGCGGGAGTGGGAGCACATCCACCACCATCACCAGCACCAGCACCAGCTAGACGCCTCTCTCGGCCTCGGCCTCGGTGTGGGTCTGCCGGGGGGCAGCACTATAATGGACGATGAGCTGGAGCAGCACATCAAGCACTGTTCGTGCTCCTGCAATCACATGGGCTATGGCAACTCGATGGACTATCAGGTGAGTGGAAGCGAAGTCCAGAACATGGATTTAATAACTTCGAAAAAACCTTCATCCGACTACTGATGGTAATCGACTTTAACTGGGAATAGTACATGATATTTGCGGTATACATAAGCATGTATGTAAATGCTCTATTCACCTTTGCGAAAGAGTATTTTAAGTTCCATCCAGCCCCCTTGCTTATGCCGTGCAGGTACTGCAGTTGCCACTCTTCACGTGCGCACTCTCCGGCAAATGATTCCGGCATGTAATTTTAATTGCGCTGCTTCAACCAAACGGCGTGTCCGGCTTTACAGCTCCCACACCTTTTACAATTCCTAATGCTTTCATATAAGTTGAAGCTAAACTGATTACCATCATGGCTCTTTGTGAGGGAATTCCAGAGTTCATGACTGGCAGAGGGAGAGATTGCTGCTTGCAGATCAACTTGGGGCTGCCCTATGCTGTTGCTGCTGCTGCTGCAGGATGCAACTGCGTCAAGTGCCCCATTGTTGTGTTGGGGAGGCATCCAGGTTGGCGAGAACTTTTTCCAAGTAATTGAATACTCCTCCGAGTCGAACAAAGAGCCAGCAGGTATCTCCCTCTTTTCCTTTTCCAACTATAGTTGGGGCATTCTTACACTCTTCATTGTCCGACTTTTAGTTTAAAAGCTGTCAATTCAGATACGGGACCGCCTGTTGTGATTCCCCGATCTTTTCTTCCTTAAAGATTCTGTACTAATATGCACTGGGTTCATGCACAAAGGAGGTATACACAGATGGTTATTCAGACATTTAAAGATAGTACTTTGATTAGGCTTTATAGGAAAAAAAAAAAATGTTTACATCGTAAGTAAATCTACAATAAGAGTGGGCTTGGGATATGCATTAGGGACTGATAGAGTATAACTTTTAAATCTAATACGATTGAATATCCATTGGGGGGGTCATGCGTCTAAAGGCTGGGACTGTGCGTCTGCTTCTGCGACTCCCAATCACTGCAGCGTGCTCTGGGGCGGAGTCAGGGGCGTCCAAGTGTCGGCGCTGACCGCAGTGACCACTGAGGTGGGCACAGCCGTTGGAATGGTACTGGCGCTGGCCACGACTACCCCCCTATCCACAGAGTGATGATCCAAGGCGGAGGACGACTCCAGCTTAATGTCGTTGTGCTGCACGGTCTTCAGGCTGGAACCGGGGCACTCCAGGGTAATGACCGAGCTGTGCTCCTCGCTCGGCTTGTACATATCGGACTGCGGATCGTCCAGCGCCTTCGAAACGTCCACGGGCTCCAGAGGATGGGAGGCGTAGCTGTAAGCAGAACGCGATTCGAGAGGGGAATCATTGATAACTACTTTAGCGATAAGTGGATAAAGTTCCCGATCCTGGCACTCCCAACACCTACCCGATTTCCAGCGGTATGTACTCCGGCTGGTAGTAGGCGGCTGCTGCTGCATTCTGATACAGTCCGTACTCTGCCCCGGATCCGTTGTGCCACCCGCCCGTGGGGTAACTGAGGGCCGACGGTCCATTCAGCACGTTCGTATACAGCTGGTGGGTGGGCGAGGTGGGCGTGGGGTGGTACATTTGGTGCGTGCCTCCGTACGCCGCCTGGGAAGTGCCCACTCCAGTAGCCCCCACTCCTGTGCCGTACAGGTCCGTCTGTCCCATGTTGTACTGATGGCCATGGGGCGTCAGATGATGGATAGTGTAGCTGGGTGAAGGAGTCGTGTAGCTCGGTGATCCGTTCGTGGGCGATGGCGAATTGTGTGTGGCTGAAGTGACAAAAGGGATAATGTCTTTCTTCGGGACAGGGACAAGGACTGGGACAGCGCACTACTCACAGATGGTGCTGCGACTGCTGCTGCACACGTTCATGGGCATGGGGCCGGGCACACTCGTGGCGTTCCAGTAGTTGCCATTGCTCTGCCAGCTGCCGGGATACGAGAACACCGAGGCCGTGGGACTGGCCTCTACTGGGACTGGCATGAAGCCCGACTGCGAGTATGCGCTGCCGTAGCATCCGACTCCTGCTCCGCTGCTGCTGCTGCTCACGCTGGTGCTCACAGATCCCGTCGTTACCGACTGCAGACTGGTGGGTGTTTGAGGGGCCGACGGTGGCTGCGGCGATGAGGAGGAGGCATTGCCGGCGCTGCCATTCGATCCAGAGCCCGATCCGGAGACAACCCGTGGCCTGCTGTAGGGCGTAGAGCGGGTGGTAGAGGCCACGCTGGGCCTGGACAGCGAACGTCCGTAGCGATCACAGCTAGATCCCGAGGTGGCTGCCGACGACACTGTGTTGGCGCCTACTAGGCTGTGGCTCTGTCCTAGGGGCAATGGTGGCGGGGCAGCCACTGCAGCGGCAGCGGCGGCGGCGGCATAGTGCGTGGGTGGAGGAATCAGCCAGCCGTAATGGGTGTCGTGCGGATACAGTGTGTCCGGCCGTTCTTTGGCGTCGAGGAAGGCCTTGGCGAAGGGATTGTACTTGATCTTGAGCGAGGTTACCTCCTCGTTCTGGTATGCCGTCACGGCGATGAACTGCGTTTCCGGAAAGGGGTATGTCACCACGTGCCGCTGCTCGGAGCCCACACGCACCAGGTGCACCCTCGGCTCGTACTTGTGCAGGGAGTTAAGCATTATCTGCGTGTAGACATGGAAATGTAAGCTCTGGTTTGCCTGAGAAGGATTAATTTCTGATCACTCACCTGCCCGTTGCCATTGGTCTTGTTTGTCAGCTTAACCTTGGCAAATGAAATGGGCTCCTTCATCCAGTGGGCCCCGAAATTGGGGGACTCGGGATGGACATAGATGGGATTCGAGGGAGGTACCTCCGCCTTGCCGCCGGGAACCTGTAAGATATAATGTGATGATGATATTTGTTTTGATGTTGTTGTCAGACATTTTATTATTTACGCTTAAATTGAATGATTTATATCTGGGACCGAAATATTATACAAATTCAGTTTCAGTTTTGTACGTTTTTCTTCAATGATATTGATTCGTTTTGAATAAAACTCAATGGAAAAATGTTGGGGAGCTGAGAATAAATTTGTACTAATAATAGATACATATCCTTTTGCATTGTGCCAAGGTGAACACATTAAACAAGTTTTAAGTTATAGAAAACGTATTTATTTTGATGAAAATATGGTCAAAATCTCATGTTTTTTTTGCATAAGCAGCCCAATTTGTAGACATGAATTTTTTTTTATTTTTTATTAAAGATTTTGTAGAATACCCCAATTAGTACAGATATGCATAATTTTTTTTAACTCCCTAAGATTTGTTCATTATTTAAATTTGAGTTTTATTTTTGAGTAAATATATAAATAGTAATCATTAAATAATCATTATCTTTGAGTTTTATTTTTTCATCATTGTGGTCTAAGTTTTATAAAATTACTCATTCTAATGATTATTGAATTAAAAAATTTTAAAATCAATTGGGAAATGCAGAGAATATACACATAAATAATTTCTTTCTAGGCCCATTACAATTGAGGGATTTTTCTTTAACATGGAACAAATTTTTTATTATTTACTATCGCTGATTTATACCAGTAGATTCGCTCCGAGAGAGTGGAAATTGTAGAATGAATTTTCACTCTTATCAAATATTTTGTTCAAATATATTGCATAATTAAATTAAATATCTCACTGCTGTCTAAAATAGTTTTAAGTAGTTGTCCGATGTTCTACTCAAATCGGCGGGAGCGAGCGAAGCAAATGTTCAAGGAGCTTGGGTCCTAGTCTATATATATGAGAAAGTGTTTTATCTTTGATTTAATATATGCAGTGTCAAAAAATCCTTTTAATAAATTAAATGTGTTTAAATCAGGGACCGCAAATAATAATTATGAAGATGTGAAGAAAATGTGTTACGGCAACATGGAATACAAAAAATTCATATCTTAATCATATTTAGCGATATCAGAAAAAACTTATATTTTTTAATTTGTATTGAAAAAATACAAAATAACACTTATTTTTGTTATACAAATGAGAAATAACACATACGTTTTAATATTCAATAAAAGTTAAAGATAAGAATTATATTTTATTTTTATTTTAAAAGCTACAAATAAGAGTTACTCCGTATCTTTTATTTTAAGTATCAAAAAAATAAAAATTAAATAAAAGCTCAACATTGTATCTCTCTGAAGTGGTTTCTACTCTTCAGAGAGCGGGTTCCATTTGAGTTTGAGTTCCCTGCCTTTCGATCAATACATACCCATTCGCCGTTGACGTACTTCCAGCGATGCGAGTCCACCTGCACAAACTCCAGCAGAACAGTGTACATAGCCGCCGGGTCCAGGCCTGAGGCGCTGATCTTCACCACCGGGAACATGCGTCTGCATGGCAAACAGATGAAACAGTAATTAGTAATTATAACAGTTATATAACAGTAGCACAGTCGAAACTGTTAAACTGTTGCCCCAAAGAGATTGCCCTCCAGTCTTCGGTCTCGTCTCCAGTGCGTGTTTGCGGAGTACCCGATCCGATGGCTGGGGCTACGAGTGCGACTGCGTCTCAGGCAAATATTGGAACGGCCATGCGCGGCGTCCATGCGCGCTCTGTTCCACAACAATTAGTACAAGATGGCGGCTGTTGCCGGGCCGTGCCAATTAGCACCTGACCAGGCCAGACCCGCCTCCCGCCTCCCGCCTCCCGCTTCCCGTTCTAAACAGCCACAGCCACAGCCGCAACCATATCCACAGCGACTGTACGATTATGTATGTGTACTACGTCCGTAAATTGGTAAATATTTCTAAGCAGAGAAGTATGTACCCGCGAGAGTACATATGTGCACGACTGTGTCCCCAGGCAGCAGCGAAACGTTAACGCTTCATTATGACCCGTCGCAAACAGCGCCAAATGGAAAACCATTGCAGCAGCAGCAGCAGAAAAACAAAAAACAAAAGCGCCAAAACCCATTGCCAATTTGCATTGGAAAACCAGTTAACACATTCGCGGTTGCAAAAGGGAGGGGAAGGGAAATGGAAGGAGCGGATCTGGTGACTCACTTACCTGCCGTTCTTAGTGACGATCATCTCGTTGGTGAGGTTCTGAAAGCGCAGCCAGAGCTCTCGGTCATCCAGGGAGACGCGCAGGTTTCGGTCCAGCTCGCTGGGACTGCCCGGGCCTGCTCTGCCATTGCCGCTGGGCCCAGAGGCAACCGCCACTACGCCTCCTCCGTGTCCCTGGCCGTGTCCGTGCCCATGTCCTTGGCCGTGTCCGTGCCCCTGGCCATGTCCATTGTGGGTCACATGCTGTGGCGATCCAGCCCCGCCGCCTGCCGCCACATTGCCATTGAGTCCGGTCGTTGGATCCACGGCGGACAAGATGTGAGATGTGGTCATGTCAGCTGTTGTAAAAAAAAGGAATTCGAAAAAGGGAACACAATTGTTAGCTAATCGCCAAATAAAACCATACTGACATGAGTCAGAATGCCCAAAGATCTGCGGATTTTTTTGTTTAATGAATAGTTTTACATTTAACATTGCATTTTGTTTTAGTATTTTCTTTACTTAGCTTTTCCCTGATCCCAAAATCAATTATTTTCTCTATGAGTTTCTGAGGTTCTGGAAGCCTGTGCAGTACACGTACAATCACCTCATGGACAGTGTGCACTGGGCATTACATCAAAGCCATTTCACCCGCCTGGCCGACGAAGTGTCGGCTTTATGCCTTTACAGCACCATCCCAGGAGCATTAGAAGAATGCTCCTCCAGCTCTCTGTTGTCGGCTTTTAATTATATTGCACACTTTAGCCATGCCTGGGACTGAGAGTGGGATTGGGATTGGGATTGGAACTGGCACTGGCTCTGGCTCTGGTACTGGGATTGAGACTCAGACTCGCTCCCAGACTCTGACTGAGGCCGGGTCTGCGATGCTGGCTGGCTGGCTGGCCATAAACAACGGGCACCCTTTTTATTTATGGCCGCGGCAACAAACACCTCTGTTTGCGCCGGGACCGGGACCGGGATCGGGGTCGGGGCCAGGGTCATAGTTGTTGCTCTCTGCGGAAGAGGCCTCCTTTCGAATCTGGTCGGACGACTCAGTGATGTCTAAATTCTGGGCACCGAAAGTGTTTCTCGCAATGTTTTGTAATCATAAATTAACAAAATGTATTAATTGTTTTGTGTGTGTTTTTATTGGACCGAACCGAAGATTGGATGCTGAATGCCGACGACGGCCCCATTCCCATTCCTAGGATTTTTTTATAGCCCGCCCTCTCCCTCTCCCCTGCCACACACGGGTTGGCTATTGTTCTTGTCTGGTATCCAAATTTGATTTATTGAGAAGTGTTTTGGCCATCTTCAATCATACATACATGTACGTCAGTGTATGGAAAGAGGAAAACCAAATGATGCTTTGTCAGACATTTAATTTGAAGGTGTCACCCGAACAGGTTGCCCCAGGGGCTCGAAGGTGAGATATACATAAAATCAATTGTGCAATCAATCAGCCAAATCCCTGCTAAAAAGGCAAATCAATCAAGAGTGTGTCTCTTAAGCCTCTTTAATCTGAAGCCTTTTCTTCAGTTGTTATTTTCTTTAAGTCGAACAGATTAAATAATAAGAATTATTATTTAGTCGACTTATTGATTTATTTTCATTTGATTCCTTTGCTGCGGTTGAATGCTCCTTTTCTCTTGATTGTATTCAATTAAGCGAATTTTTGGAAGGATTCAATTATCTGCATTTTCGGATATCTATTTTCCCGAAATGCACTTTGCGGTGTAGGCGGGCACTATTATAATTTTTACCCAATTCACTGGGTGTTTTCTCATGTGCCACATAAAAGAGCTCATAAAAATGTACTCTTCGTGACAGCGGTATCGTAGCTGTCGTAGCTGGCTGTTCCCTGCTCTGCCTTGTCCGGGGGTCTATGGGTCTTGTACAGCCACACGTTCCCGTACATACTCGTATTTGTGTTCCACATCGTTCCACGCCACTCCACCATCTCCAGCGGCAGCTCCATCGCATCGCCAAGCTTAATGAAAAGCTGTTTTTGTGTGTTGTCTCCTCGTGCGAGTATCTGTGTGTTTGCCTATATCTGTGTGGCGTGGCTACATACTTCTATACTTCGACTTTTGATGGCTGCCATGACGGGTTGAGTTGAGGTTTGTATTGGACTCTTTCCCCATCCGCTTTGTTGTTGCTGGCTTTTGTTGATTTTGAATGATTTCGTGACTTTGATATTTACTCAGACTCTTTGAAAGTTTTTTTTCTTCTATTTTTTCTTTTATTTCCTTTTGGACTTGCGTATGAAATATGCGCCGCTAGACGAAATCGAACCGAACCTTTTGTAATATGGCAACGGCGTACTGAAGATACAGTGCCTAGAGGCCATACATCAAACGAATCTTATGACTCTTACACTGAGGGAAAATTCCTCATATCTCGGAACTATTTAAGTATCGAAAAAGCACTAACCCAGAGCAAAAAGAACCCAGAACAACTATAATATTTACAATTAGGTTTAAAAATGTATACCAGTAGGTTAAATGCGAGAGGGGAAATTGTAAAAAGAATGTGCTTTCATATTTAAAATAAATATCTTCCATACATAACTTAAATATTGCCATACATCATATTAAAGTGTTTCACATCCAGATTGAATATTGGCTGTATTAAAAAGACCTTTGAATACATTTATGGCTAAGTCAAAGTGAATTCTATTTAATTTTACTTAATTTTTATTTAAATACCGAATACATTATTTAAATATGGATGTTTTCCTTTGTTCGTTTTCTGCCATTTTTCTTTAAGTGTAGGTTTTAGAACTATTTTTTTCTATCTCTGCTTAGAGGGAGTGTTCATTATATCAAGTGTCTACTCCATGCCGTCTGTTTAGTGCCCGAATCTTAAAATCGTTAGCCCATAGGAGAGTCCTTTTTAACAGTAAGAGCTGGAAGTAGGATAGTAACAGCAGGGCAACTGAATGGACCCAGGCACTCGCAGTATTCTTGACGGAGAAGACAAGAGTATAGGTTCGTACAGCCCTTCCGCTTCCGATTATACCAATGTTATCCTATTATCCTGAACATCGCTTCATTCATTCCGCTTTGCGATTTGCACAAGGATTATGTATCGGGTGCTATTCACACCTGCTAAGGATCCGGGCGGGGGGCGGCGCCGACAAGTGTCATCGGCCGGACGCTGGTAGCTTATCGGAGGGCGATTAAGTCAAATTTGCTAAATTTCACACACCACTTGACATGAAAATAAACCAAATTCAAACTTGGACCCTGGTCGGGCTCTTGCCCCTGCCCCAACAGCGTCCTGCTCCTGTTTGCTCCTGTTCCTCGACCAGAGCTGTCACCTTAGGCAGGAAACTGTGTGGGGGGAGTGTGTCGCACTTTTGATTTCTGCACACAGCCACAGTCCGGAAAGTGTGATGGCGCCGACGGACGGACGGACGGACGCACTTTATGAGAGGCGTACTAAAATTTTGTACAAACTGTAATTAATTAGTGAGCATTTGTCAAGTACTAAACGGGGCTTGGGGCCTCTTGTCGCGGCGCGGGGGCGGAGTACGGCTTGGCTTCCTTGGGTCGGTTTATGGGAATCTTTTTTTTGTCGATTTGCATTTAATAGGATAATTTTCACATGCGTCGTAATTGACTGCTTGATCCGACGCACGCCGTATTCGGCCATCTAAGAGTGTGCCGGTGGCCCTGTCTCTGTCTGGCCTGCGAATTCTTATGTCCCTACTAATTTGCGTGTGAATATCGGATTTGCTGCTGTTTTATGTCATTAGAGATATTATTAGGATCGTTAAGAGATCGTTTTTGTCGCTGGCCCGCGGCTTTTGGGCACTTCTTCTTCGGCCAAGTGTCAAAAACTGTGTGTTTTGTGATATCTTGGGTGCTCTTGGGGTTTTGTTTAGATTTGGCATTTGATTTTCACACGTTCGTTTAAATAGGCTTGCCAATTCACCGTTCGAATAACGGATATAATGTTCTTTCTAAGCAACATTAAGAGTTACAGATAAATCTACTTATTTCCCTGCCATTTTTGTAGTGTTAAAGATATTCATGGATGGAAGCGGCCATGGAAATTAATAGACTTCGAAGCATTAAGAAGATTTTTGATGGCGAACTTAATATTCCATTCATTAAGATTATACACTTTTGCATATAATTAAAGCATATTGAGAATAATTTTCACAATGTACCCTTATCTTTTATATATTCCTGAGGTAATACGTGGAAATAATTTGAAAACTTTAGCCGAAATTGACCTATCTTTCTGGGATTTTTGTTTAGCTATAATGATTAAGAAAATATAAAATATTTACAATATATTGATATAATATTGGAAGAAAAACGTGACCCTAAAATACCGAAAAATAAATGAGCTTTTGCTGTTTTGAATAGGGTTTCACCTCAAAGTTTATGAAATGAATAGTCAATTGGTTAAAATATTTAAATTTTAATAAATTTAGAAAATTATATCGGTACAAAAGCATATGAAAATGTGCGGTGGACCTCCTTTCCTTGAAAATTACCATATGTTACGCAGAACCTCGTATTAAAATAACTCATGCTCCAATATGACGTTCAAGTGATATTCCAAAATATTTACAAAGATACGAAAACTTGACATAAGTTGTAATTTATTTTGTGCGTGGTGCCTTTGTGTTGAATGATAAGATTTCTGATATTTGGCGACTAGTCTTTGTGCGTTCCATAAACTTTGAATGATCGCAAATCAATGTTCATAATTAAACTGTTGGTTTGACCGATTCCAAATTGACCAAATTTGCTTTTTAGAATAATACAAAAATCCAACCTTATTCGAAAATTGTTTGACAATGGCTAACGATATTATACGTTTAGTATATTTCTAAGTGAATCGTGATTCTACACAGATTTTTACTAATTTTTATAGTTCCATATACTCTGACATTTCAAAAACTTGTTCTGAAAAAGTCTCTATTGAAATTCTGAGATGAAATAAATCTAAAATTAATTCAGTGACCAACCAAAAAATGTATATCTAAGGAAGCTAGGGAAAACAACGAATACTTTATCTTTACCTTTAGTCTCTCAAAGAATGGCTATGCTCTACTATAGCTTAAGAGTTTTTGATCCACTTACATATATACTTGTGCTCCGCCGTTGTCCGGCGTATCTGCTGTAATCCCGTGGAGAAGCGCTCGTTGAAGTATGTCAAACTCTCAGATCGCTCACAAAGTCACTAGCTGGTCACAATCACAAAGTCCTCGGGGGCTTGTTCTGGTTTTATTCACGCGCAAAAAAAATATGGACAGATCAGATCAGATTTTTATCAGTATCAGTATCAGTATCCGTATCGGTTAGATCGGTTGAGAAGAGGACAGGCAGCCGCGACAGCCGTGTGTACCGCGTTTCTTTCTTTATTATTTTTGCTTTGCGTTTCGAGTCGCCGAGTTTTTCGCCGCCGAGCGTGTGTTTGCGTTGCCACAGTTCCCGAGCTAATGATCGACGATCGGTGCTAATTTGTTCCACCATCACAAGCCAAGCCGCGCTCGCTGGCCTGGCCGGGCCGCTTCCTCTATTGCTCTGGGCCGTGTTCGGCCGTGATTCTGTCTACTCTCTCTTCGGCCATAGAGCCGTCCTGCTCTGGCACGCGTTTTGGCCGAATCGGACACCGGTCCGGTGGCTAGGCCACACCTCTAACAGGTAAGCGCGCTGCGCGGGATCTCGCATCTCGCTCTGATCTGTTGTGCCGCCATCGCTGGGGACCCTGGCAACAGGTAGGCTCCTAGCCATCAGGTTTTGGTCATACCATATCATTCGAGCCGAGTCGCTGGCTCTGTGCACCGGCCGAGTCCTAGCTTAGATCCCCACCCCGAAGGAGACGCCTGGATCTGCACTGCATGCGCCAAAAATTAAGTGAAACGTGTTTCAAATGCGCACCGCGAGCGAAAGAGAGCCCAGATCTCAATGGCTGGATGGAGTGGATACGAATACGATACTCGCTCAAATGCCCTCTGACGGGGCAAAACTGGAGTTGCTGTCCGCCGACTGGCTTTGATTTGTTTAGACGCTCGTTTTGTGTGTGTTTTGTTTGCGCAACCAATTAAAACTTTGTATTTTTTCCATGGGTGTCTGTTTGTTGTGGACCTGCGTCTCGGCTTGGGGTCCGTTCCGTCCGAAACGGGTTTAGCGGTCGTTTCGTTGAATTTTCAACTGAATTTCGAGTTGTAAACACTTGACCGCGTATGTCAGTTTGTGTATGTGGCCAAAATATGAGAAGGCCCCGGTCAGGGCACCCGGCATGGGGCGGAGTTGGAGGCTGTGCGTGACCAGTCTCGGTTGAACGAGCTTTTTGCATCGGAATCGGAACGGGATGAGGCTGTAACTCAAACAACTATATTTAGTATGTAGTAAAGTTAGTAAGTGATGACTGTACCCCGCCAAATATCATTCAATTTGTAGGGGATACCGGATTAATCATCACCATATCTTTATCTAGAGAACAATTTATAATTCTAGGGATTTTTCATTTGTTGTTTCATTTGATATGATTTGATGAGACCCCCCATTGATCCGACAATATTTAACACTTTAAGCTATTGCCGAGCTCCGTGAATTATACTAAGAGACTGGTTTAAAATCTGTGGCTTGAATATTATCGGATTTTCGTGGAATATTTGGTATATTTTAGCTGACGAACATGCCCGAATCGTCTGTCCCCACGTGATTTTCCCAAGACAATCAGAATCGGTCCACAATTTCCCATGACTGCCTTGGAGGCAATCAGTCAAAACAGATCTTTAAAAATACGTTTTATTTATTTGCTCGTTTTTCGCTTAATTCGAGTGCTAATTGAACCCGATATTACGGGCAACTTTTTGATGTTTCCTCAGACCGATCGAAGGAAAAAGAGCACTTAAAATTCGATTCGATTCGATTCGATTCGATACGATTCGATGAGGAATACATTTAATATACATATATGTACGTATTTTCGTAGGTATTTTCATTTATTCAACTATGAGTATTTATAGCTTTTTCGTGGTTTCAGAGCATCACGCGCCTCTCCCAGTACACTCCACGGATTGAATTCCATTTATGAGGCGAAGGAATGGGATGGGAATGGTACAAAGTTGAGCATTCTGTGGCGCTGAAAGACAAACAGCATACATATGTCTATGGCTATCGATTTGGGGTCCACAACAACCCGCGAGTAAATTGGAAAAATCAACAGACTCCGAAGTTCAATAAAATACATGAAAATGGTGGAGGGAGGGTGGGGGAATGGCGGGATGGGGAGGAGGGCCAATATCCAATATCCAGTGTCTAATGTAGAATCTGGCAGATACACAAGTGAATCGAATGGAATACACTCATGTAGTTGTCGCACCCGTGACGGCTACCTTTTCGGCCCGCCATTCATTAAAGCGATCGCGGGTGCGGCGCGGGACTTTCATTAAGAGCCCCGTCCAGAGGATCGGTATTTGGTATTACGCGGAAACGCAGTTTGCACAGTCTCAACCCTTTCTCGGTGCGCGGCCTTGCCCTAAATACTCACCGCACGGCATTGTAGCGGCGTTTTGTGCCGCCTTTATGGCCCTTCTTTACGTCCTTTCTGCGCGTGTTTGCAAACAATCCGATTTTATGGCCGCCTAAGCGAATTTCCCCGCCTCAATTAGTCCGTTGTAAACACATAAATGCAAACACGCAAGAGCCCGAATGGTCCACCGTCTACCGGTTTGCACAGGACACGCAAATATATCCTTTGCCGCGGAACAGGGCCATTAGCCGTCGGAAAATCCAAGTTCTGTGGCCAAGGCGATGCGAGTACAACACACGGAGAGATAGGAAATAGAGTTCGTGTTTGAAGTCTTTCGTTCGCTCTCCGCTCGCCCTCTTATCCGATGGGCCCTCGCACAGCCCTGGTCTCAGCCGGGGCCTGGCCGCTGCTATGTTTGCCCCGCCTCGGAGCCAGACCCAGACCCCAGACCCATTTGCATATGGCCTGGCCCAGAGCTCGCTTAAGTGTGTTTGCCAGGCCAGGCCAGGCCAGGCCAGGCCAGGCCAGGCCCGAACCGAACAGAACCGAGCCGCTCTTGTTTGCTTTGGGCCATCGCCATCGCTATATTTACGGCCATAGACATCACCATCGAATGTGGGCTGCGCAGCTCATCTTCTTGCTGCAGGATTTCCATGGAAATGGCCAGCTTAAAGCTCATCGGGAATGGTGTTACTTGGTAAACAGCAGCTGGCAAAACAAAGTCAAGTCTGAAAATACACGAGTATTATGCTATGGAACGTGTACTTTGTATAATTGCTCGATTGTGCTCGATAGATGCTTATCCAAAAGTATCAGGCAGGATTTTATAGTTTTTATAGGTTTTCCTGAGGTAGGACTCCCTGCTTTTACAATCAAACTTGTAGAGAACAAATCAACTGGAAAAAATCAGTTTATTCAACGATCTCTACAATGCGTCTCCTTTCCGTTGCTCTCTTGAAGCGCTCCACTACCGGACTCTGGTCCATCGACGTACGCCGCCTTCATGGAACTGCTGCGATGCGCGCCTGCAAGGAGGACTACGCCATGACCGACCACAAGTATGATGCCATCGTGATCGGAGCTGGTGGGGCCGGGATGCGTGCTGGCTTTGGGCTGGCCGAGAAGGGCTTCAAGACGGCACTGATCTCGAAGCTGTTCCCCACCCGCTCCCACACGGTGGCCGCCCAGGGTGGGGTGAATGCGGCCCTGAGCAACATGGACAAGGACGATTGGAAGTACCACTTCTACGACACGGTCAAGGGCAGCGACTGGCTGGGCGACCAGAACGCCATCCACTACATGTGCCGCGAGGCGGAGAATGCAGTCTACGAGCTCGACCAGTTCGGGATGCCCTTCTCCCGCAAGCAGGATGGGAAGATCTACCAGCGTCCCTTCGGGGGCCAGACCCTGGGCTATGGAAAGGGCGGTGTGGCGCGTCGCGCCTGTGCTGTGGCCGATCGCACTGGCCACGCCCTCATCCACACGCTTTACGGGCAGACGCTTAAGTATGCCGATCTGTGCCACTACTTCATCGACTATTTCGTGCTGGACCTGATCATGGTAAAGGGTCGCTGCGCTGGCTGCCTTGCCTGGAAGCTGGACGACGGAACCATGCATCGCTTCATTGCCAACAACACGGTGGTGGCGGCCGGCGGCTGTGGCCGCGTGTACTTCTCGACAACAGCGGGACACACCTGTACCGGCGACGGCAACGCCTGGATATCGCGTCAGAAGCTGCCTCTTCAGGACATGGAATTCGTGCAGTTCCATCCTACAGGCATGTACGGCGCTGGCTGCCTCATCACAGAGGGTGTGCGTGGTGAGGGCGGTTTCTTCTTGAATTCCAAGGGGGAGCGCTTCATGGAACGCTATGCCCCCACCGCAAAGGATCTCGCCTCCCGGGACGTGGTGGCACGCGCAATGACCATGGAGGTGCTGGCCGGCAATGGCTGCGGTCCGCTGAAGGATCACGTGCACTTGCAGCTGCACCATATCGATCCCAAGATCATACACGAGCGTCTGCCAGGCATTGTGGTCACAGCCAAGATATTCGCTAAAGTGGATGTGACCAAGGAGCCGGTGCCGGTGCTGCCAACCGTACACTACAACATGGGCGGCATTCCCACGGACTTTATGGGTCGCGTGGTGACTGTCGACCAGGAATGCCAGGAGCAGGCCATCGAGGGCCTCTACGCCTGTGGCGAGACATCGTGCGCCTCGGTCCATGGCGCCAACCGATTGGGCGCCAACTCACTGCTGGATCTGATTGTGTTTGGGCGCTCGTGCGCCCTGGCCATCGCCTCCAACAATTGCCCGGGCGAGACGCCTCCGGACGTCGACGAGAAGGCCACCGCGGAGACGCTGGACAACTTCAAGAAGCTTCGCTGTGCCGACGGCAAGACTACTACGGCTGCGATCCGAATGGAGCTGCAGCGCACGATGACCGGACACGCGGCCGTCTTCCGTGAGGGGAAGCTGCTCAAGAAGGGCCTGTTGAAGGTGGCCGATCTGTGCCAGCAATTCAAGAGCGTGAAGGTGGTGGACCGCAGCATGGTGTGGAACACGGACCTGGTCGAGACCCTTGAGTTGCAGAACATGTTGGCCAATGCGGTGCACATCATCACCGCCATGGAGAACCGCAAGGAGTCGCGCGGGTCCCATTCCCGCGAGGATTTCAAGGTTCGCTTGGACGAGTTTGACTACTCCAAGCCCTTGGAGGGGCAGAAGAAGAAGAAACTGGAGGAACACTGGCGCAAGCATACCCTAACCTTCGCCCAGGGTGACGAGGGATGCGCCACCATTAAGTACCGCGAGGTCATCGACAACACCCTCGACGACACGCTGGCCCCGATCCCACCGGCTCCACGCACCTACTAGTCCCCCAGTAACACAAACATGTAACACATTTTCCTCCACTAAACGCACATTTACACACTTCTTCTGTTTCTTGGTTAAATTAAAAACTACACTACGAATAAATACCAGCCCATGCAAGTCCGACGGGTTCATACACTCCACCGACTGTCATCCTAGTATTCTCCTGCATATAAGATAATTTCTTAATTTAAAATAAGTTTTTGTTTTGGATTTTTGCAAAGAAGACCTACAGGTAGTCGTCTTAGTTCGTAGGTCTTGCCCAAGATTAAGCTCTACCAGACAATGGATTCTGCCTCTGACTGCTCCAGATGCCTGCAAGTAAATAATTACCCTCTGAAGAGGCAACGCCTGGTCCTTGGGTGATGATTTCTGAATACACAGCTGGGGGCAGAATAATATAGCTTTAGATTTATCTATTATGAAGCATCTTAAGTCGGATTTTGAGCATTACATTTTGTATTCATTCTCCATTCAAAGAAATCTTTTGCTTTCATTCAATTTGTTTTTTTTTTTTTTCAAATGCATAATGGAGTAGTACTCAACCTATTTGGCATCCTTGTGGGATACAATTAATATGTGTAAATGTTTTGAAATAAGTTCGAAATACCACTTCGAAATGGCCAACTATTATTATGACCGCAAGTGTAGGAGTGCCTGTGAAAGAGGATCCTAGAACGAGGAGCACCCCCGTAATGACCACAATAAATTATATTCATTTAGGGGCATTTAGCATAGAGAAAAAGCCGAGTGCCAGTGCCTGGCCTGGTAAAGAAATAATTTATGGCTGTTGAAAACTTAACATGTTCATTTGGCCACATGTGGGTGGAATGAATGGGATGCTGGATGCTGGATGGTTTGGGTGGCCCCAATAATAATGGCGCTTGTTACGGCTTATGAATCTGTGTGTGTGTGTGTGTGTGTGTGTGTGTGTGTGCTGCGTGTGCGTTTGTGTGGACAGCAAATGAAAGGACAGCAACATAACAGGACCGCACAAAACACCCGTACAACTCGGCCTAGACGAGCAACAAGAGGCTACAATCCCCATTAGGTGATCCCCATCCTCCGGAGGACAGGCCAAACTATTTCGTGTGGCATCTGTGTGGAGGTGGAGGTGGAGGTGGGGGTGGGGGTAGGTGGAGGGTGTTTGTAGGACTGTGTGTGTACACAATTGTTGCCATTTCATTTTGTTGCCGCTGCCACCGACAGAAAGATTACAGTTGCATACACATTTGCCTGTGTTAAATTGTCCCACAACCAATACAAAGTGACCTTTTCATTTATTTTTATGATGCTCCCACCGCCTACCCCATCAGCACACCCGCCCATCCGCACCCCCATTGCCACATGGTGCACGTCCCTGTGGTCATAAAAAATAGTTCGCCCAACTCAACTTTCCTCTCAAATGGAAGGGCAACAAATGTCGGCTACAGAGGCTCAAAGAGGCTTACTGGGCTAAATGATTTCTTCTGGGATTTTGAATCTGTTTATTCCAAGCTGCCATTAATGGATGTGGATTTGTATAAGACCACTCAAATGGAAGCCATATCTGCCACAAAATAGTTTACCTGGAGAAAAGTACTGTATCAAATATACATAAGTAGTTATTGTTCAATTTTCTCGAAATTAATCTGAATAATTTTAGAACCCTACTTTGTATCAAATGATGATATATGTATAATGTGATGATTCTCACACTGAATGTGGAATATTTTCACTTTAAAATTGCCTTTTCTTTAAGAAATGTGATGCGTGGTGCGGGACATTTCTAAATGAAGTTTTTGAATAAGAACCAAAAAGATTTCAGTGGTGAGAAGCAAAGTTGAAGTTCTGCTCAAAACTTTGTGGATGTCTCCTTGTATGAGTTTTCTTTTTGCTGGCTTCTGCTGGGGTTTCAGGTTCAAGCCGAGTGTTTCAGAGAGTCTTAAATACAGTCTTAGATTCACCTTCAATTGTTCCTTAAAATTATAGAATTTTGGCTGCAGCTCTGTATTTATTTAAATGATGTACCTATAGTTTTAGTTCAAGAATTGACTAGCAATATATGCTTAGAAATCAAGGCGTTCATATCCCTCGAGACAACAAACCGAAGCGGAGGAAATCTAATCTCTCTTTGGATATTTTATTATCCAATTTCGAGTTTCTGCCGCAGGGACATAGACAGACAATCGGACATCGACAGAAACCAGCCAGCCAGGCAGCCAGCCAGCCAGCCACTGTTGTGGATCCGCTGTGGCTCTTTCTCCTGCACATCGCATCACTTTGCTTTTCCTTTAGCCTGTCCCTCCATTCCAGTTTTCCGCCATTGTTGCGGGTGCGACAAGGAGCAAAGCAAAGGGTCTCCACGTGCAGTAAGGAGTAAAGTTTACTGAAGCTCTCGAAGTTGTTTCTGCACTTCATTGCAAAACAAAATGTTTCAGCTTAAGCCCTTGTCCTACCCTGCCCCTGCTCCTGCCCCTGCCCCGGCACTGCACTGCCCCTGGAGGGGTATAAAATACCAGAACGGAATGTGTTCCGCATGGCATTTGAAGTAACATCGAGTTTCTGGTCCAGGGCATGTTCAGGGAATGTCTGTGCCGTGGCCGGGGGCCAGTTGAGTGGTTCATCATTTATATGTTGCCTTTGACTCAATCAGTTACTCGTTTGGATCTCAGCATTCGTATCCGTATCCGTATCCACACTCGCATCATAATTTTCATTAGAATGGCTCTGCGCCTAAACCGAGTCAAAGGCACTTCACTCTGAAAAATGCCTACAATTTCGGCATATTTCTCTACGGTTTGACCACTTTTCCAACAAACTATTCCGACTATTTCAAGCTGCAGTGTTTCCGTTCGTTTGTTACTGAGCTCGTTTTGGGTTAGATTCGGTATTGGTATTTTCCCAGAGCAGGAACAGAAGCTGAAGCTGGAGCTGGGACTGGGACTGGGACTGGGACTGGGGTTTGGGCTCGGGCCTGACAATGCTTTCCAAAACTTTTGCTTGCATGAATTTGATTTATTAATAAATTATACACTCTACTCCACACGAAAATAAAATTCTCTTCTATTTCCATTTTATTTACTTTCAGGTACGTCCTGTCTGGGGGTCTTCAATATGCAGCCAGTCGATTACGTTCGGGGAGGGACAGATGTGCGGGAAATTTAATACCCGGTGTCTGTGTGTGTGAGCGATAGTACTTACACATACATATGTACGCTTTCCCGTAAATTGATGCTCAAATCCAAAAACCAAATTTAGTGAATTTTGTGATTTTGTGCAGACACAAGTGGAAAATCAATTTCTTCCGAACGAGCCCGAAAGCATGCCATGGAAATACAATTTATATATGTTTTTTTCTATTTCAAAAGATTGATGCTCGAAAGTATGCAAAGACTATACATACGATATGTCAGAGTGCAAGGTGACTCAAGATGGGAAAATGTGAGTGACGTGACTTCGAAATGTGAGGCATGTACATATGAGTGCGAGTTTTCCCTTTCTTTCAGAAATCATTTAATTGCTTTGAACGCAACTAACGATCATTAATTTTATTTACTTTGTGGCGATTCATCAATTACATGGCATTTCTCTGGCCATACGTATAGGTATAGAGTATATCAAACATACACCTCCTCCTGCCTACAGATATTACCCATACAAACTTTTGTTCTTGCTCTATTCTTATTATCCCTAATGGAACATCTTTCTAAGTAGCGGCCATTTATAGCGGAAATAATTTATTTAATTTATTTAAATTTATATAGTATTCAAGCCGAATCAACTCTTATAATATTATGGAAGTCTTCAACAGGCTTCAAACTGAAATGATGCAGCTCGGACTAAACAAACCAAAGAACTACCAAAACGTTATTCCTCAACACGTAAAGTTTGAGCGCACTCATATGCATTGTTTTTTTGAAACACGCTCCGAAAGGTGAAGGTAAAAATAAGTTTATAAATTTCTGCTGCTTCTGCTGGGGAGCACGACCCTTCTTGCAGCAGCAAGGAGACCCAGAAACTCAGAAATCGAACTATCCAGGCCACTCCTCGACCTCGGCTGAAAGGTAAATTTGAATAGGCTGTCCGCCACCCTGTTGTGTCGGACAATATTTGCCCCTGCCAGAAGGTGCTGGACGGAAAGTCCTGATGATTGTACCCACACTTGGAGTTGACACTATTGGAAATGCCTTGCGTTTGCTCTGCTCTCCTTGGAGTCAAATGAGTTTTGGATAAACGAGTCCGTCGGGAAAACTGCCTCCATAAGATGACGGACTGCTGGGAAACAAAAAAAATCTCTCAATGCCCTAGCTGGGAATGCATAATTAAGAGCAAACACGAGAAATGAGCAAACGGTCCCAGACTATTCCATCTACATTGTGTTCGTCCCTGGCCGTTGGCCAAGTCTCATGTTCGGGCCTCGACTCCTGCCTGCCCTGTCCCTGTCGTGCCCTGCACTGTCCTGTGCTGTCCAGTCCAGGGAGAGACTGCTGCCGTTTTTCAAATTAAAATGCGTTTAGCTTAAAGTACACGTTCTCATTTATCATTTTATTATGGCCAGGCAGTGTTTTTCTTGAGCTTTGCCGTTTGCTTTGGCTCTCTGAACTTTCCGTTCCTACGTGCTGGCCAACGGGGCGCATGAGTAATGTGAGCACTTTCCTGCACACGGACTTTGAGGTGGAGTTGAAGTCCGGACAGACTGGAGTTAAAGCTACTTCCCATTGCCCTGTTTTGACCAGCTGCAACTGCCTTATTAAAACACCCGTATACGCCCCATACACCGTAGACCCATACCCTCTTAGAAACAAGCAAATTTCGCACAGCAGATTTCCATTAATGGTCCTTTCCCTGAGCAGGAAAAACAGCAGCCAATGATAGTTGCAACCAGAGCCAGCAGCAGCAACAGCAAGCAACTAAATGCTGTTGCAATTTCGTTCTTCGTTCGTGGGAGCGTTGTACTGCATTCAGTTCAGGACCCAGGACCTGGTTTGTTTCCCATTTATATTCATTTGTTTTCCGTTTTATTTACCCATCTCACCCGGAGCAGCAGCAGCAGCTGCAAATGTTCGGGTATGCATGCCACATTTTTGTATAATTTCCCATAGAAGCCGAGGGCGAAATTCTCACATTAGAAATGTGGGACCTCGACCAACATTATC